TCAGGGGGCACCAAGCTGCAGGGGTGGTGGGTGGGGGGAGCACTGGGATTCCAGGCCGCCAAGGATGGTGGGTTCATTTCATCAGGAATTTCATTACCCAAGGAGGGAAGATTTGCACTTTGGAGGGGGGAAGAGGGAAACTGAGGCAAGGGGGGGGTCCAAGGCAGCAGCTGCATCTGAGGATGGACACGTCCCCCACTCCTAGCACTCTGGGGCTCATCTCTGCTGCCTAAGCAGGGAGGCGGGGTGAGGCTTTGCAGTGAGGCCTTCCCCTGGGTGCACTTGGGACCGCTGTGCTGTGTGTCATGGCCCCTGTACTGCCAGCAACTGCCTCTGCACTTGGAAACCCAGCACATCAAACCCTGGGTTCAACACCCCCCTGTATCCCCAGGATGGAGGCACAGACCCCAAGGGCTCCGGCCTGCTCGCTCGGTGGGATCATCCCTACGAGCTGGGCAGCTGCAGGGTCAGCCGGGGTCACCAGCTTGGAAAGACTCTCCCCCACCACCAGGTTTCCGGAATCAGCCCTGTGCCAGGCAAGGCTCCGGCTGCTCTGACTGGCGCATTCTTGGGATTTAGAGCAGCCAGCCCCAGCTCGTGCCTCCCCCGGCCTGCCCCCTCCCGGCCACGGTATGTGAGTCAGTACTACGGACATTTCTCTGAAAACATTCGCTGGGCCCGCAGCAGCTGCCCAAACGGCGAACGGAACGGGGGGCGGGCAGGCGAGGGAGCCATAGTCAGACAGACGAGCTCCGAAGGCCGCTGCCCATGGGCCGCCCACCCTGTGGACGCTGCGGGCAGCTCTGAGCACCCCGGCTCCAAAGCGACACGTTCGAATCGGAACAGCGGCAGAGACGGGCACCAAACCTGGCGAAGGAGCTGGACCAGCTTCCGCACGAGGCGGGGTTAAGACGGGGGCTGGTCAGCTTGGAAAAGAGACGCCGAAGGGGGGTGACCGAGGTCTGTAACATCCTGGCTGGTGCCGAGGAAGTGACCAGCGAGGTGTTACTGACATGGCACGCGAACCAGGGGCCACGCGTGGGACTCACCACTGCACTTCGGGCTCCTGGGGCAGCTAGCCACAGCCCAGCCCTGTGGAAGAGGAGCAGGGGCAGAGCCATGGAGGGGGTGGGACCTCATGGCCTCCCCGCCCCCCCAAGGTTCTGGCCCCCTGGATCTAGGCCTGTCAGTCACGCCGGTACCGAGGTACTTGGGCAGTCAGAAGAGACAGGTCCCACTGCAGAAGGTGTGGAAGCCAGCGATCTCGCTGCGGATGCTTTTTGGGGGGTGGCTCCTTGGTGGGTGAGCTCAGGGCGTGTGTCCTGTCATCTGGATGAGAGACAGAAGTCTTGCTCTTCTCAGCATGGGGGGGTGGGGGGGCAGTAGTTGAGGGTGGCGAGGAAGACCACTGGTATTGGGGCCAGGGTCTGAGGCAGGCTGCAACAAGCTCTCCCTCATGGCCAGCCTGAGTCAGCGGGATGGAGTAGTCCATGTGTATTATTCCTAGGATGCACCAGTCCGTGGTGATGGAAGCCCACGCCAAATAAAAGGGGCTCAAGAGGTTCCCAAAATGGGGGATGATCAGTGTTATCAGCACTGTAGCTGTGGCAGGATTCCCTTTCTCTGCTGCAATTAACTGTTTCTGGGCAACGCCTCGTGTTAATGCCTCGACTCTAGACTTTAAAAGAACAGGAGAACTTGTGGCCCCTTAGAGACTAACCAATTTATCTGAGCATAAGCTTTCGTGAGAAACAGCTCACTTCATCGGATGCATACCGTGGAAAGTACAGAAGATCTTTTTACACACACAAACCATGAAAAAATGGGTGTTTACCACTACAAACGGTTTTCTCTCCCCCCACCCCACTCTCCTGCTGGTAATAGCTTATCTAAAGTGATCACTCTCCTTACAATGTGTATCACGCGATTACAGACATGAAAGTTGAGATATTACAACAGAAAAACTTCAAAACCAGACTCCAGCGAGAGACTGCTGAATTGGAATTCATTTGCAAATTGGATACAATGAACTTAGACTTGAATAGAGACTGGGAGTGGCTAAGTCATTATGCAAGGTAACCTATTTCCCCTTGTTTTTTCCTACCCCCCACCCCAGACATTCTTGTAAAACCCTGGGTTTGTGCTGGAAATGGCCCACCTTGATTATCATACACATTGTAAGGAGAGTGGTCACTTTAAATAAGCTATTACCAGCAGGAGAGTCGGCATCACTGCAAATCTCTCCGAGCTGGTGACCCCGGCTGAGCCTGCTGCCTCGGCCACCCCTTGCCTCAGTTTCCCTCCCCTCAAATGCAAATCTTCCCTCCTCAGGTAATAAAATTCCTTATGAAACAGGAACCCACCATCCTTGGCCTCCTGAGATCCCAGCACCCACCACTGAACCCCACTCTGATCCCTACAGCAAAGCGCCCCCTATTGAGACCCCACCCCACTCCCTGCAGCACGGTGCCCATTGCCGACTCGCCACCCTGCTCCCTGCAGCACAACACCCCCTACCAACCGCCCACCCTGCTCCCTGCAGTATGGTGCCCCCGTGGTGAGCGCCCACCCAGGTCTCTGCAGCCCGGCAGCCCCCCACTGACCCTCCCGACCTGCTCCCTGTCGGGTCATTGAGAAGTGGGGAGGGGGCCAAGCTTCCACCCCCTTGGGAAATGCTGCCCTGCCACTTTGAGACCCAGAGCAGCTGTCTGGGGCCCATAATATCCTCCAGGCATGAAGGAAAGGAGATAGAGAGAGGGGCCTAAACACCCCTTAGAGCCCCAGTGGGCATCTCTCTCTCTCTCTCTCTCTCTCTCTCTCTCTCACACACACACACACACACACACGCATGAACACAAGCCATGGTTTGTCCTCACGCCCCCCCCCCCCGCCTCTCCAGCAGGGGACGCTGGGACACACACACACCACAGAGGTTTGGGTTTCGCCTTTTGTGTAGAGGTTTTTTCACTAACCAGGCATGAGCTTCTGTCCAGCTGAAATCTAGTTGTCCGCATGGAGCCGATGTGAATTAACCAGGGGGGTCCCAGGTAGCTGGGGCTTCGGGGTTTGTTACTGAACGGAGCCTTGGATGTGAAAATATTAAATGCAGGCAACCATGTTGCTGGGAGTAAGGCCACGAGACAGAGTGAGAAATAGAACCCAGGAGTCCTGGCTCCCAGCCCCCCTGCTCTAACTGCTAGACCCCAGTCTCCTCCCAGAGCCAGGGAGAGAACCCAGGAGTCCTGCCTCCAAGCCCAGAGCTGCCTCTGTCCCTGCAATACCCCCAGGGTGGGGGGCATCTGCCCGCACTGGAGCCTGGCTGGGAGGGCCAGGAGAGAGAGGGGCATCCCGGCATCCCTGGAGCAGACCTTGGAGGGGGATCGCCTGGGAAGTGGGGCAGCAGCTGTAGCTTGGGGGGCGGGGGGGGGAGGACTCTGCCAAGTCCCATGGCCCTGGCACAAGAGCTTGGCCTGTGTGGAGGCAGCCAAGTGGTGGAGACCCAGGGAAATGGCACCGAGGGTCACGCCCAGGCCGAGGGCTGCCTGGCACCACCCTGCCCTCTGGGGCTGAGCTGCTTCCCGCTCGCCGTCAGCCCCTGGGCCCTGCCCACGTTGCCGAGCCCTGACCCCCAGCTGTGAGGCGAACACGTGGGCCAAGGCGGGAGCTGAGCGTGGAGGTGCCCCGTCGAGCCCCGGGCTGCTGGCCGCGCACAGAGTCCCCGAGGAAGAGCCCGTTCCTGGCTGGTCTGGAGTCAGGCCGTGTTTGTATCTGGCAGGCAGAGCCGCCCCTTCCCCGGGCACCGCTGGGTTGCCCACAACCTTCCTGGGTTGGCTGCACTGGTCCAGGCTGGGGCATTCTGGGGAGCACGGGGATGCCGGTAACCCCAGCTCTTGCCTGGGACACGGCGGGCCCAGGCGCACGGTTCCTTGCCACCCGGCTGGCTCAGTCCTAGCACGTCATGCCTCCAAGCTGGCACCCTCCTCCCAGCCTGCAAGCCCGTAGCCGGCTCCTGCAATGTGCCAGGCCCGCTATGGGCACTGGCAGGCAGGGGCACCCAGGGTCCTTGGGACCCTAGCTGGTCCAGACTCTCGGCGCCACCCGCAATAGGACACGTTAACGAGCAAGCCCCCGATCGCCGGGCACGGAGGCTGCACCGGGGGGCTCACAACGGCCAGGGCACTGCAGGGACCACGGCCTCAGCTGGCACCGAGACCGGCGTCACCGGCGACCTGCCCTCCGCCGCCCCCACCTGGCAGCGCCCATGGCTCAGCTTCAGCTTCCTCTGCCTCTGGGTTATGTCGGCGGATTTCAAACAACGAGACGCCCCTTGCAGGCCCCGGGAGCCCCGATATCACCCCCACTCCACACAGGCGTCCCGGCGAGAAAGCGCTGGGCCGGGTGGCTCTGGCTGGGCTGGCGTCCCCGGCTGTCGAATCCAGACAGATGGATGCCCCAGAGGCGCCGCACCTGGAAACGGGCCCATGGTGCCGATGCCCCTCAACCAACCAACAGCCGCCTGCTCTCCCAGGCCTGGGCTCTCCTGCCCCTCACAGCTCTGCCACCCGGGTGGCTGTCTACTCCCAGCCCCATCCCGCACTAACCACTATACCACACTCCCCTCCCAGAGCCAGGGAGAGGACCCAGGAGTCCTGCTCCCAGCCCCCTGCTCTAACCACTAGCCAGCACTCCCCTCCCTGAGCCAGGAGAGATCCCAGGAGTCCTGGCTCCCAGCCCCTGCTCTAACCACTAGCCACCACTCCACCTCCCTGAGCCAGGGAGAGAACCCAGGAGTCCTGGCTCCCAGCCCCCCTGCTCTAACCACTAGACACCCTGCTGCTTAAAAATCTCACAGCACTGACCCTGCCTTGGCAGCAAGAAGTTCAGGGCAGCCAAGGCAGGTTCATGGCTCATCCCAGCACACAGGCATCCCGCATGTTTCTTTCAGGGGCCTCGATTCATGCCACCAGAGAGCAGCAAAGAGGCCCCAGACACATTAGCAGTGAGGTTCGCGGGGACATTTATTTAATTGCAGAGTTTAAAGCCAACCAGCTACAAGGCAAGGAGAGAGGCACCCTCCCCTCACGCCAGCTCCCATTCTTCGGCCTGGGGTGGGGAGATACCTGGGGAGAAGGCTGCCTGGGCTCTGGGGAGTGCTGGGTTTCCAGGTGTAGTGTTCTGGCACTTCACCTGGGTTCTGCCCACACATCAGGCCAATGAGCCCATCCACCCCAGGATCCCTCTCCAACAGCACCTGTGCATCTTGAGGTAGCACGTCTCCCACAATGCACCCTCCCTGCAAGGCCTTGTGGGGGAGATATTCCTTCCTGGCCCCGCCAGTGGGGGGCCAGCCCCGGCCATGAAGCAAGGAGGTTGGGAGCCTTTGCTGGACATACTAAGCTGCTCGCCGGCAGGGCGTCCTGTGGCGGGGGGTTCCGCGGGTGAACGGGCGCTGGGGTACAGAGGCGAGTGGGTGGCTGGGGTCCCCATCAGAACAGGCGCTGAATGAGGTAGGTGATGGCCCCGGCAGCCTTGCCGAAGAAGCCGGGTAGCACGAGGGAGGCCACGTCGCCCAGCATCCCCAGCGCCGATTGGATCCATGACGGCTTCCGGATCTCCTCATTTTGCTGCTGCAGGTGCCGGATCTCGCTCTCCAGGCGTCCGGCCTCCTCCCGGAACCCCTCCTGCAGCAGGGCCGCCTGCTCCTGGGGGGCAGCGACAGCGTGAGGGGGATCCCCAGCCCGCCCCATGGGACAGCCCCCACCCCACAGGCAGGGAGAGGTCACGGCAACAGCGTGGGGCTGGCCTGGGGGGAATGGGGGCCCAGAGCAGGGGGGGCCAGGGTGTGTGTGTGTCCCTGCTGCCCCCTGCTGGAGGGGATGAGCCCTGCTGTGTGTGTTCACAAGCCCTTCCCCACACTGCGCCCCCCAGCAATCCCATCCCTGGGGGATCCGCCCCACGGGCCCATCTAGCCTGGTATCCCACCCCCTGCCTCCCATTTGCCAGCGCCCTGGCTGCCGCACGCAGAGGAGTCCCGCCCCTGGGCAGGCTGAGGCCAGGGGCAGGGGCGCCCTTGCCCGGGCTGTGCCCGTCCGCAGGGCCGCCCCTAGGCGGGTGCGGGGCCCGGAACAACGCCCCCTGCCCCAGGCCCGACCCCACCTCTTTCTGCCCCCTCCCTGCCCCCATTCTGCCCGTGCCCCTCCTCTCCCAATCCATGCCGGGAGCCAGCAAAATGGGGCAGAGCAGAGCAGGGCCGGTAGAGCTGCTGCCAGCCCCCGCGCCACCCAAGCTCCACATCCCGCTGAAGTGAGGGAGCCCCCCAAAACATGGGGCCAGGGTCGACCGTGACGGGTCTGCCCATCCATCCCCGCAGCGCCAAGCACCCTGGTACCTTCAGTTTCTGATCCATCATTTTGCCCTGCTCCTCCAGCAGCTTCTTCCTCTCGTCCTCCAGCTTCGTCTCCAGCTGCCGCAGGTTCTCCTGGTAGCTGCGGTCCTGGTCCTCCAGCTTCTGCTGCAGCTCAGCCTCCTTCTGCTTCAGGACCTCCTGCTCCCGCTCAGCCGCCTCGGCCCGGGCTCGCTCGGCTGGGCCAGGGAGAGAGAGGTGGCTTGGCACGGGGAGGGCCATGGTGACTCTGCCTGCCTGGGCTGCAGCCCAAGCACCCTCCCCCTCCGCCCCAGCGGCGTGACGTCCCCCCAGTGGGTACCTGCCATCTCCTTCTCCTTCTCCGTCAGGGCCTCGTCCGTCTGCAGGATGGACTGGGCCACGTCCTCCTTGGACTGGAGGAACTCCTGCAGCACCTCCTTGGCCTGGGAATGGAGAATGGGAGCCACAGGGTCAGGGGGTTTGTCCTGTGGGGCTGGATCCAGGTCGGGATTCTGGATCGTGGTACTGGAGAGTAATGGGACTGGCTGGCTTGGAGGGGGGTGGGCGCTGGGACACAGGGCCTTTCCTCTCTAGGGGGCACGGGCCCTGATCCGGCCTCAGGGCAGGGAATGGCTGGCTCAGGGGGGCAGGGCCTGGGACATGGGGCCTTTCCACTCTAGGGGGCACCAGCTCCCATCCAGGCCCAGAATTAGCATTTGGTTTCCACTCGACACCCTCAACGCCTGTTCCGGATGAACTGGGAGCAGAACCCAGTTTGTAACAGGACAAACGGCCTCATCACACAGGCTATAACTGGCCCCCGCCAGCAGCCCCAGCAGAGCGGCCGAGGGCTGGATGGGCCACAGGAACCAGGCACCCCCGGCACGTTGGCAGTCAGGAGGGCTGTGGGGGGAGGGGGTAGGCTCACACTCTGATGCTGCCCCCACTCTGGGGAGGATCCAGGAACTGTCCAGGTGGGGGAAGCTGTTGACTGGTTCTCAGCAGGGCTTCCTGGGCTGCACAACGAGGGGGCACAAAGACACACAGAGCCAGGCACCAGTCCTCTCCTACCTTTACCCCCTTCCCCAGCACCTGCCGGTATCTCTCCACCATCCGCTGCCGGTCATCCTGGAAGTGCTGGTAGCCCCCGGGCACCAAGTAGACCCCCTGGCCGATCCGATTGTCCATCTCGTCCCACAGCTCCAGCAGGGTGGCCGTGCAGCGGTCTGAGGATGCCAGTTCATTGCGCCGGCAGAGCTCCTGCTTCTGCTCCTCCAGGCGGCGCTGCCAGGTGGTGCACAGACAGGGCAGGCATGAGCCAAGGTCAGGGGCGCAGATGGGGCGGGCGTGAGCCAGGGTGGGGGGTGCAGACGTGGCAGATGTGAGCCAGGGTGGGGGGTGCAGATTGGGCAGGCATGAGCCAGGGTGGTGGGTACAGACAGGGCAGGTGTGAGCCAGGGTGGAGGGGGTGCAGATGGGGCAGGGGTACAAGCCATGACAGGGCCTGAATGGGGCAGGGGTGTGAACCGATCCACGTGTGCCTGGGGCTGGAGATTGGGCTGGGTCCGCTTGGCCTGGCATCTCAGGTCTCCAGCTAAGCAGGGCCGAGTGTGTCCCTGCACCCCATATTCTTCCGGGATATTAGGGTGACATGACTATGGCATAATTTTGGTGTATTTTATGCAAGATAAGGTGTGTGCAGTGTCATGGAAAAGTGATGATTTGCTGAATACCGTTATCCCATGTGTGTGCATGTAACATTTTTGTATGTGACGTTACGAATATTGACGATGTGTCTGTCCTGCAAATGTAGATACACCTGGGGAACGCCCACCGGACAAGACGTTTTCAGTCTAGACAGTGGGTGGGGAATGGCCTATTCAGGGCAATGGGCCACTAGGAAAAAACAACAGGCCTTAGGAGAAGTTTATCTCCCACCTGGGGAGCCTTCCTGAGAACCCTACACGCAGCCTCCAAATACTGACTGCTGAGACTCTCCAAGGACCTGTGACGAGACCACATGATGCTGGTCTCCATCTTGGGATGTCAGCGTTTTCCCACAGACTGGTCTGAGAATCATGTTTTGGAACAAAGGGCTCCCGCCAGATGTAAAAGCTACATAAGGCAGGGAGTGGCATCATCTGGGGTTCTTCACTCCCCACCCAAAGAGACTCCTGGAAACACCTGAGGAACAAAGACTGAACTGGGGGAAGTGCTGGGCCCAGGCTGAAGGGGTTTCTGGCCTGGGGATGGAGCACCTGGGGATTCCAAGCTGTTAGCAAGTGCAGCTTGTCACTTAAGGATCTGCAGCTGGCTTGTATCATCCCTTAGGGTGAGAGTCTGCGAATTCAGATCCAATCTCTTTAGTGTATTAACTTAGTTTGCGGTTTTGTTTATTTGCTAGGTAATCTGCTTTGATCTGTTTGCTTTCACTTATAATCACTTAAAATCGATCTTTTGTAGTTAATAAACTTGTTTTTGCTTTATCTAAACCAGCGAGTTGGAGTGAAGTGTGCAGGAATCCTAACTCAGGGGCAAAGGCTGTTGCATATTCCTCTCCACGTTGAGGGAGGGGGCGAATTTTATGAGCTTTCGCCGTAGAGTGCAAGCCGGTATGATTTTGGGTTTACGCTCCAGAGGGGGTGCGTGCTGAGGAGCTGGGAGTAGCCTGCCCATGCAGGGGCTGGCCAGAGCCCCGGCGTGTAACTGCAGCTGGATGTGCCCCCCCCCTCCCCTTGTGAATGCTGGGAAAGTGCAGCTGGAGGACTTTGCAGGGTGTCACAGCCGTACACGGTGAGAGGGAGCCCAGGCTGGTGGGTCACAGGGCTCAGTGGTACCCCAGTTCCAGGTGGCACCCCAGGGGGAACCCATCACACCAGGGTTGGGAGATTCCCCCAGGGAAGGGGCTCAGGGCTCAGGGGAGCCCCATCCCCGCCCATCCTGCAGCGGGGCAGCTGTCCCATAACCCCTGGGGCCGGCGCGAGGGGCCGTACCATGAGCTCCCCTTGGAAGCTGCGGTCGTCGTCCTTGAAGGCGCGCGCCATGAACGCCCGCAGCGCCTCCCGCTCGCACTGGGCGTGCAGCTCCAGCAGCTCCTGCACGCTCTCCGTGGGCAGCGCCGCCCGCTGGGCCAGCTGCTCCTCGTAGACAGCCATGGCCTCCCCCACCGCCGCCGAGTTCTCCATCTGGGCCAGGGCCAGCACCGCGCTCTCCATGCAGGGCACCGCCCCGCTGCGGATGGCGTCGACGTAGGTCACCGCCAGGGTCCCCAGCACTGCCGGAGGGGCAGGGTCAGAGCCAGGGTCCCCAGCACTGCCGGAGGGGCAGGGTCAGAGCCAGGGTCCCCAGCGTGGCCGGAGGGGGGCAGGGTCAGAGCCAGGGTCCCCAGCACGGCCGGAGGGGCAGGGTCAGAGCCAGGGTGCCCAGCGTGGCCGGAGGGGCAGGGTCAGAGCCAGGGTCCCCAGCGTGGCCGGAGGGGCAGGGTCAGAGCCAGGGTCCCCAGCGTGGCCGGAGGGGCAGGGTCAGAGCCAGGGTCCCCAGCACGGCCGGAGGGGCAGGAGCAGCACCAGTGTGATCAAAGGTGAGCAGGGGTAAGGTCCCCACCCAGCTCCTCCCACACTCTCCAGGACTCCACCTGCTCCGTGACCCTCCTTGCAGGACAGACACCGAGCCTAGGATGTGCCCCGCTCCCCACCCCAGATACCCCCTAATCCCCCCTCTCCATGAGCAATTGGTGCCTCGTTTCTCATTGGGATGAGCCCGGCTTCACCCCCCAACCATGGGGCCCTGCTCTGCCTCTCTCCGCCCCTCGACAATTTTCTAGCGCCCCTCCTAACCACGCACCCCACAGCTGGGCACAGACTCCAGCGCTGGCCCCACCAGTGCTGGCCACATGGGACCCCCTCCCAGCTCGGTTCATCCCGCCCAGCATTGCATGAGCCCCATGGACCCCAGCTTTCCCCGGCCCAAGGGCTACCGACACTCACTGGCCCCGGTCACCACGTGGCCGCCTGGGATGGTCTTGGGCTTCGACGTCTCCCAGACGTGGCGGCAGAACCGGGCCACCTGCTCCCGGAACTCGGGCTCCAGCTCGTCCTCCTGCAGCTCCTCCAGCCGGGGCAGGTCCCTCCTGCCGGCCGGCTGGACGAAGACGAAGCATTTCCGGGCCGGGAAGAACTGGCGGATGCACTCGCGGGGCAGGTTGTGGAGCTGGGCTCGCCGGCTGCTGCCTGGGGAGGAGACGGGAGCTGGGCAGCAGCCCCTGCGCTGACATGTGGCTGCTTCTGGGGGGCAGCGCGGCGGCTGCTGGACAGATTCCCCCACTGCGGGAAAGAGACCCCACTATCCACAGGGGATTGAGGGGAGCCGGGGAACTGTCCAAGCTGCAACGTGGCCAGGACAGCGAACGCCCCAACTCCCAGACACACTTGGGTTTGTGTCTTGAGCAAAAGCCACACCCTGGGGCCAGCCCTGAGGGCCAGGGGAGAGCCCCACCCTACCCCCTGCAGCCCAGCGCCCCCTAGGGCCACCTTGGGGCCAGCCCTGACAGCCAGGGGAGAGCCCCACCCTACCCCCTGCAGCCCAGCGCTCCCTAGGGCCACCTTGGGGCCAGCACCGCTCCCCTACCTGGCTTTAGTTTCAGGCCGTTCTCCAGGTACTCGTCCTCAGTGATCTCCCGCCCGTCCAGCTCCAGCTGCAGCGTGAAATCCCGCACGGCCCACACAAAGGCCGGGAAGAACCGCACGAACTCGGCCGAATTCTCCCCCTCCTGCTGGCTGCCCTCGCCTGCCGCCTTCACCTTGATGCGCTCCGTCAGCTCCGTCACGTAGCTGGGGACCGGCTAAGGAACCGGAGATGCGGTGCCCCACGCAGGGAGGTCCCACTCCCTCAGAGTCCCCCTCCCTCAGAGTCCCCCCTACGCATCTGCAACAGGGGCTCAGAAGGGACCGAGGGAAGGGGAGGATATTCCATCACAACCCTCGGAAGCAGGGATCGAACCCACCACCTCCAGGGTCCGGAGCAGCCCCCTGCAGCACTGGAGCTGAAGGAGCGACTCTGTCAGCTGGTGGCAGTAGTGGGTTGTTACCCCATCATGCAGAGCGGCGACTAAAGGGGGCCGTGGAGCACACCCTGCACTGTGGGTCACAATTTCGCTGGGGGTGAAGCATTTGGAGGGAACCGCGGGGCCCTTCCGTGGGGACATGCGGCCCCCCAAACCCCTAGACCCGGCTCCCCAGACACGGCCCCCGGGCAAGGATACTGCAGCTGGTCCATGGCTTGCTGGCTGATGGTGCCCAGGCTGTTATAGACCAGGGTGCTGCTGAGCAGCACGGCCAGCGCAAAGATCCACGTGTCGTTCTTCGTGTCACCCTGGAACGACACCCACCGTCACCAGCCCGAGCGCATCCCAGCCACAGAGCTCACAGCCCATCGCAGAGCATGGCGGGATCCCCGGCCCCATGGCACAGATGGGGAAACTGAGGCACGGGGAAGGGTTGGCCAGGGGATCAGCCCCCAGCTCTCCAGAGTCCCAGCCCAGGCCACAGTGAATTCCCATTCCCGGAGCTCAGAGCGTGTGACGTTATCTGACTATAATATAACATCTCATTGAAGTATCGTCCACAGCCAGAAAGAATTAAGCATCCTGCAGGCCAGCTGACCCAGAGTCAACCTACAGAGGCGGGTGAGAACAGTGAGCAAATGATAATTAGGACCATTCCGTGCTAGTTAGGCCAGAACTTTGAAGTGCAAACCTGTAGATTAGAAATTGGAGGGAACTGCTAGCTACGTGTGTTTACTTATATCTAGTAGATGCAAACCAGGTGACCAGACAGTTCCTGTCTATTACCGTGGCTGTGGCTGCAGAGATCACCAGGGAAGGCTAACTTTTAGATGCACCTTGAATTAGTGGCATTGTTTATCTGTCTCTTCAAAGTCTGTGGTAAACTGTATATGAACAGCTTAATGGACAAATTACCTTGTGTTAATTACCAGGATGTTTGAAAAACAAGGAGTAACATCAAAAGTCTATTATTCACCCAGGACTGAATGGTCAAGAGGCTGCTAGAGATGTATAAAAAGCCTTGGGACCTGATCCTGTTTATCGCAGATCTGCTTAAGGTTTCATGCAGGGGAAGCCTAAGCCATAAGAACTGAGATCCCAGTCACTGGCTGGAATCACCCTGAATATGGACATTGGGCTATAACCTCGGACTATTTCTACAAGGACTCTTTGCAGCGACAAGCTCACCGTCTCTGCCATGTGTCTGAACCTCAAGAACTGACCTCACATCTGTATGTGCAGTGATCTTTTAACCAACGCTCGCTCTCTCTTTTCTTTTTCAATACATTTTAGTTTAGTTCATAAAGATTGGCTATAAGCGTGATTTTGGGGCAAGATCTAAGTTATATATTGATCTGGGCATGTGGCTGGTCCTTTGGGATCAGAAGAACTTTTTCTGTTATATGATGAAATAAGAGTTTCAGAAATCATCATATTTTGACGTGGGTACCTGGCTGGAGGCCTGAGGCTGGGCACTTTAAGGGAGCTGCGTTGTTTGGACTTCTGAGCAACCAGTGAGGTCATACCGAGGCTGTTTTGTGCTGGATTGGTAAAACTACATATTGGAATATCCTCCAGCTTTGGAAAAAGCTCACGAAAGCTTATGCTCAAATAAATTGGTTAGTCTCTCAGGTGCCACAAGTCCTCCTTTTCTTTTTGCGGATACAGACTAACACGGCTGCTACTCTGAAACCTGTCACCAGCTTTGGAGTTTGTCTGCCCCGTTCTGTTTGCAATTCACCCTAATTGTGTGATCTCAGCTGGCTCCCACGGGCACCATTGTCATAGAGAGTCACTATTTAGGATTGGTGTATTTCCCCCTGTGAAATCCCCAGCTCCCAGAGGCATGGGAGCGGGTGGGAGCTCTCATTGCTCCTCTCTTACTGAAGTAAGTTTCCAACCCATGTGGCTGCATTAAAGCTTTGGGAAGGCGACACCTCCCCACCCCATGGGGTTCAGATGCAGCAGCCCCCACTGCAGGGCGCGGGGTTTGCAGCTGCTCTTATGCATTTTTCGGGTCCCAACTTTATTTGGCCTCCTGGTGGCTGGCGTTACCGGTCCTTCCATCTTATCGGCTGTGTCTGAGCCCCCCTCCAGATGGAATGTATTTATCATCACACACCCTCTGGCAGGCGGGGTGGGGAAACTGAGTCCAAGGTCACACCGGGGGTCTGTGGAGCAGGGATTTGAACCTGGCTCTCCCGAATGCCAGGCCTGCCCTCCACCGCTACAGCGGGTCGGGAAATTGTCACTGAAGAACATTGAATTGTTGACACCAAAATCACTCGCGAAACAGGGTCACTTAAGGCAAATTTCCCAACTTGAAAAATTATTGGGGAAAAAAGTTTCAGAATTGTAGAAACGGCCCAACTGGCCATTTGTCTAAACAGAGACTTTCCATTTCTCAAGGTAAAATGACGTCTCCTTGCCAATGTTTTGGTAAATTTGTACCAAGTTAAGAAAGAAAAAAAAAAGTGGACAATCAAAATGCAATGTCTGAAAATTATTCACGTTTTTTTGCATGACCCGGACCCAGGACACGTTTCCGATTTTCAAGCCCTGACACTTTCCCCCCATTTTGACTTTTCATCACGATTCGGGACAGGAAACATTTTCGCTACCTCAACAGTTCTCCCCGGCCACGACAGGTGTTTCCAGCCACGCCCTTGGGCCTCCCTTCCCTTCCCAGCCCCGCCACGGCATCCCCAGCCCTCCCGGGATTGGCACTGCCCCCCTCAGAGGGCGTCACCCCACATCAGACAGAACCTCCTTCCCCTCCATGGGGCTCGCTGAGTCTGTCCCTTAGCAGCAGGAGCTCCTTAAATACCCCATCCCCTTTCCCAGCATGCCTTGCCCTGAACTACAATGCCCAGCATCCCCTGGGAACTACAAGTCCCAGAAGCCCCTGGAAACTACAAGGGCCGTTCCATCCTGCTCTGCAAATTGGCTGATTCTCATACACTGCCCCCCCGCCCCCACTCACCTTCTCCACGTCGCCCAGCCCCTCGGTGTCCAGCAGCACCAGGGTGTGGCCGGCCCGGCGGGGGTGGGGCAGGCACCACATCCAGATGCCCTTGGTGTGCGACTGGATGGTGGAGCCCAGCGAGAACCCTGGGGAGAGAGGGGTGGAGCTGGGACAGTCACAGAGCGAGGGAACCCAGGAGTCCTGCCCCCCCGACCCCTAGAACCCACTGCCCTCCCAGAGCCAGGGAGGGAACCCAGGAGTCCTGTCTCCCAGCCCCCCCACTCTGACCCACTAGACCCCTTTCCCCTGCCAGCACCAGGGACGGAACCCAGGAGTCCTGCCGCCCAGGGGCAGGGCTCACGTCTCCCACCTGTTCTCTTGCCAGCCAGTTTGTTCATGAGGTAGGACTTGCCGGTGCGGTACAGCCCGGCGATGGCCACCACCACCACGGGCTGGGAGATCTCTGCCAGCACCCGCAGCGCCTCCTGCTGCACCCGCAGCTCCCCCGCCGGGCTGTTCTCGATCAGGCAGATGGGGGCCAGCATGGGGATCTCCATCGCGCCGGGGGGGGCGGCCTGCGGGACACAGAGCAGGGAAGGTCAGCGTGAGGGGATGAGACATGGGGGCAGAGGACAATGAGACACAGAGTCAGGCCCCCCAAACTGTGGGAGACCCTTCCACCCACCCCGGGTGCAGCGTACGGACCCCAGCATGGCCCACGGCAGCTCACCCTGGGGCAGACAAGCCCTGGCGCTCCTGGGCATCACTGCAGACCCCCAGCCGGTGCCCCTTGAATCACACGCGGCAGGGCTGCTGCTGGACAGGCAGGACAGTCCAGTGGTTAGAGCACCAGCCTGGGGCATGCCTGGGGAAAGTGGTGGTTCAAAGTGAAAACTGGCCAGGGTCAGGTCTAACCCCCCAGGGGCCAGAGTGGGCAGCAATATGGTTATGGTGGAAGGGGTCTGGATCAGCGTTATGGGGTTAGGGCTAAGGGGTAAGAATTTGAGTTAGGGTTAGGGCTGGGGACGGGGGTAGAGCTGTGAGGTTCTGGGATGGCATTATGGGGTTAGGGCTAAGGGGTGAGGATAGAGTTTCAGGGATAGCAGGTAGAGTTCTGGGGTTAGGGGTAGGGCTATGGGGCAGGGCTATGGGGCTAGGGGCATGGCGAAGGAGGCCGGGTTAGCATTCAGCAGTTGGGGGAGGTGGTAGGGCAGCCGGGTCAGACCCTGCTCTCCACCCACTCCCCAGCCCGCGTAGGCATCATTTGATTTCTGTATTTGGGGAGGTGGCTCCAGTCAGACCAATGGGGCCTGCCCACACCGGTGCTATTTCAGATTGGGGGGACGGGGAGGGGCACAACTTTAACCGTGAGTCCAGGGCCTACTTAGGCAACAGGAAACGGTGGTGTTTTGGCAGATAATAGCTTAGAAATCTCTGGCAGGAGCCCGGCATCTACCTCCTATGTCAAGAGAGAAAATGAATGAAACCGTAGCCCTGCCCAGGTGCAACACTGACGTGTTCTGACCCCCGGGCACATCACTCGTGGGACACTGGACAGGTTGACAGTTGTCACGTCTGTCCGTACTCAGAGACGCCACTGACATCAGAGGGGCCCACCCCGATCGTCTAGTCTGACCCCCGGCACCTCGCAGGCCCCAGAACCTCCCCCACCCCCTCCGGTAACAGACCCCGACCTCCAGCTGAGTCACGGACGGCCTCGTGACAGAGACTTCACCATGGACACTCGTTCAAACCTGCCAGTGACCCAGGCCCCCTGCTGCAGAGGAAGGCGACACCCCCAGGAGTTAGACCCTGAGCATGTGGGCGAGACCCACCAGGCAGACCCCGGGAAAGAATTTGCTGGAGTAACTCAGAGCCCTCCCCGGCTAGTGCCCCATCTCCGGCCCTTGGGGATTTTTGCTACAGGAGCCAGGTATGGGCCATATGCCATTGCAGGCAGCCCTGTCATCCCATCCCCGCATACCCGTATCGTGCTCAGGAGTGAGGCCAGTTCGGGGTTTTGCCCCCACTGCTCCCCTTGGGAGGCTGCTCCAGAACGTCACTCCTCTGATCGGTCGAACCTTCGCCTCATTTCAAGCCTAAACTTGCAGGCCAGTTTATATCCATTTGTTTTCATGGTTCACATTGGCACTGAACTCAAATAACTCCTCTCCCTTCGTGGTGTTTATCCCTCCAATGTATCTACAGAGAGCGAGCCGAGCTCCCCGCAGCCTGTGTCTGGTCAGGCTAAACCAGCCGAGCTCTTCGCGTCTCCTCTCAAGGTCGGTTTTCCAGTCCTGGGATCATCCTAGTGGCCCTTCTCTGCCCGTCCCAGCTTGAATTCATCTTCCTTACACACGGGAGCCCAGCACCGCACCCACTGTTCCAGATGAGTCTCCCCAGGGCCTCGTACGAACACCTCCCTGTCCCCACTGGAAATCCTGCGCCTGGTGCACCCCACGATGGCATTAGCCCTTTTCACAGCCACATCACACTCACAGCTCAGAGTCAGCCTGCGATCAGCGACACACCCAGGTGTTTCTCCTCCTCGGCCCCTCCAACTGACACGGCCCCAGCTTAGAGCAAAACATTCTTGTTAGCAGGGGTGAAAGTAAATCCGAGGAGTTACCGGGGCGCCCTGCGCCAGCGTTCTTGGCAAGGGGGGGCCGCTCTGGGCCCTCGGAAGGGGTGGGGCCTTGGGCAGAAGGGGCGGGGCTGGGGGCAGACTCCCCCAGCCAGTGGGCAGGAGCCCTGGGGCTGCAGCGGTGGAAGCCGGAGACCTGGGCCTCTGGCGGTGATTTGAAGGGCCGAGGGCTCCTGGACTCTGCAGCAGCAGCCGGGAGCCCCGGGCCCTTTGAAATCGCCAGGCCCAGGGGTAACTGGGCCTTCTGCTCTCCCCCCATCGGGGGCCCTGCCAGTAGGGTCACCACAGGGGGGAGCAAAAGGGGCAGCGATGTTAGAGCGCTTCCATCAGCCGTGCACAGACCGGTACTGGGGGCCAGTTTGTAGAATCTCAGGGCTGGAAGGGCCCTCAGGAGGTATCTAGTCCAACCCCCTGCTCAAAGCAGGGCCAATCCCCAATTTTTGCCCCAGATCCCTAAATGGCCCCCTCAAGGGTTGAACTCACAACCCTGGGTTTAGCAGGCCAATGCTCAAACCACTGAGCTATCCCTCCCCCCAGTTCTTACTGGTATGCCATCCTGGCCCACATCGGCCCACTTTCACCTCTGCTTGTGAGTCCCTAAATGCAGGACCTGGCACTTCGCACTGTTAAATCTCATCCCGTTTCTATTACTCCGGTTTACAAGGTCGTCCAGATCTTCTCGTTTGATATTCCGGTCCTCCCCCGCACTGCCAATGCCTCCCCACTTTGTGCCATCCGCAGACTTGATTAGCAAACTCCCCCCTTTTGGGCCAAGGTCAGTAATGAAAACATTAAATAAGGTTGGTCCCAAGACGGATCCCTGAGGAACGCCACTAGTAACCTGCCTCCAGCCTGGCAGTTTCCCTTTCAGTGTGACCCATTGCTGTCTGCCCTTCAACCAGTTCCTTACCCACCTTCCAGTTCTCAGATTAATCCCCATTTTACATAAGAGCAGCCACACTGGGTCAGACCAAAGGTCCACCCAGCCCGGCATCCTGTCCACCGACAGTGGCCAATGCCAGGTGCCCCAGAGGGAGTGACCCTAACAGGTAATGATCAGTGATCTCTCTCCTGCCATCCATCTCCACCCTCTGACAAACAGAGGCTCGGGACACCATTTCTTACCCATCCTGGCTAATAGCCATTCATGGACTTAACCTCCATGAATTTATCCAGTTCTCTTTTAAACCCTGTTATAGTCCTAGCCGTCACAACCTCCCCAGGCAAGGAGTTCCACAGGTGGACTGTGCGCTGAGTCAAGAAGAACTTCCTTTGATTTGTTTTAAACCTGCTGCCCATTTATTTCATTTGGTGGCCCCTGGTTCTTATATTATGGGAACAAGTAAATCACTTTTCCTTATTCCCTTTCTCCACACCACTCATGATTTTATAGACCTCTACCGTATCTCCCCTTAGTCTCCTCTTTTCCCAGCTGAAAAGTCCTCACCTCTTTCATCTCTCACCATATGGGGCCCGTTCCAAACCCCTCCTCATTTTAGTTGCCCTTCTCTGCACCTTTCCTAAAGCCGGTCTATCTTTTCTGAGACGAGGAGACCACATCTCTACCAGTCTGTGCATCTTCTCCAGAGAGCCTTCCTGACACCCGGTTAGATCGGATCGACTGCCTTAAAACATCAGCCCTCTCCCCCAGGAGAGACAGGGGGACTGTGCCTGCCACCTCTTGCATCCAACAAGCGACCCGACCACTTTCGGCGGGTCACCAGGCTCGGGCCAGAGCCTTTCTCCCCTGAGTGCCCTGGCAACCCCCGGCCTGCCGCGGACCCGGCTCTGCCTCCCGGCACTGGGCTACGCCGGGCGCAGTCTCCGGGCCCCGCCTGCATGGGGCACTGGGGCTGCCCGAGGCTTGCAGTGGGGGGAGCCCCCCATTTCCCCCCCAGACCCCACCCAGCCCAGCCCGGGTCGGCCCCGGCACCCCCCCCCCCCGTCCGCAGCCGCTGCCGTGCCCAGGCGATGGCCCCAGGCGCCCGCTGCCCGCGGCTGCCCCCTGCCCTGACCCCCGTGGATCCGAGCCCCGGGGGGCCGGGGAGCAGCCGGGACCCACCTGCCGGGGGCGCGGGGAGCCCGGTGTCCGCTCGTCTCCCTCCAGCGGCGCCGCGCGGCTCGGAGCCGAGCCAGGAAACGGGACGAGTCGGATTGAAACCGAAAGCAGCCGGGGGGGGGGGGCCGGTTTCAGCGCTTCGGACTCAGGGACGCGGGATCCAGCCTGACCCCCTGGCGGCGCAGCCCCCCCGGTACCGGCCCCGCAGCCCCGGCTACAGACTCCGGGGACAGCAAATCCCCTAGTTCAACCCGCGCGTGCCCCGTGCCCCACACTGCAGAGGGGGGCGAACCCCCACCCCCCAGGTCTCTGCCAATCTGACCCGGGGGAAACCCCCCCGCCGCCCTGGGTTCCCAGCTCCCCCGCCCCGCAACCCACCAGACCCCACTCCCCTCCCAGAGCCGGGGAAAGAACCCAGGAGTCCTGGCTCCCAGCCCCCCTCCCCACCCCGCAACCCTCACGGCCAAGGCTGGCCCCAATGCAGTCCTCAGGGGCTCCGGGCGGCAGGGAGCAGGGCTGGGGGTCAGTAGGGGGCGGCAGGGAGCGGGGCAGGGGGTCGGTAGGGGGCGGCAGGGAGCGGGGTGGGGGGTCAGCAGGGGGCACCAGGCGGCAGGGAGCAGGGCGGGGGGTCAGTAGGGGGCAGCAGGGAGCGGGGTGGGGGGTCAGTAGGGGGCACCGGGCAGCAGGGAGCGGGGCAGGGGGTCGGTAAGGGGTGTCAGGCAGCATGGAGCAGGGCAGTGGGAGGTCAGCAGGGGCGCCAAGCTGCAGGGAGTGGGTTGGGGGGGAGGGAAACTGAGGCAAGGGGGTGAGGCAGTGCCCGTATCTGAGGTTGGACACAGCACCCAGCCCAGCACACTCTGCCCTATAAGCAGGGTGGCAGCAGGAGGCTTTGCAGAAAGGCCTTCTGCTAGGTGCCCTCGGGACCGCTGTGCTGTGTGTCACCCTATACTGCCAGCATCTGCCTCTGCGCCTGGAAACCCAGCGAGGCAAACCCAGGGTTAAACACCCCCAGATGGAGACACAGGACCCAAGGGCTCCGGTCGTCCCCACCAGCTGGGCAGCTGCAGGGTCAGCCGGGGTCACCAGCTCGGAGAGACTCAACCCTCTCTCCCACCCTCGCCACCGGGTTTCCCGGAATCAGCCCTGGGCTAGGAAAGGCTCCGGCTGCTTTCGGTTTCCATCTGACTCAGACACATTCAGGGGATTTAGAGCTGCCAGACTCAGATCATTGTCCTGGTATGTGGGTCGGCACCACGGACGTTTCTCTGAAAACATCCACTCCATGCGCAGCAGCAGCCCGAACAGCGAACAGGCCGGGAGAGGCGGGCAGGAGAGGGAGCATAATCGGACAGGCGCTCATCACGCCGCTGGCCAGGGACTGCCCACCCCGTGAACGCTGCCGGCAGTTCTGGGCGCCCCAGCTCAAAAAAGATCTGTTAGAACTGGAAAAGGGGCAGAGACGGGCCACTAAACTATTTAGCAGTGTGGAGCAGCTTCCCTATGAGGAGAAATTGAAAAGATGGGGGCTGGTCAGTTTGGAAAAGAGACGCCTAAGGGGGACATGACCGAGGTCTATATAATCATGACTGGCGCAGAGAAAGTGACTAAGGAAATGTGTCTTCACATGGCACCCGAACCAGGGGCCACCCGACGAAATTAATGGGCAGCAGGTTTAAAACCAACAACAGGAAGCGTTCCTTCACCCAACGCACCGTTAACCTGTGGAACTCACTGCCAGGGGATGTTGTGGAGGCCAGAAGTAGAACGGGGTTCAGAAAGAACTAGATGAGTTCCTGGAGGATCGGTCTATCAGTGGCTATTAGCCAGGATGGGCAGGGACACAACCCCTTGCTCTGGGTGTCCCTAGGAATGGGTGACAGGGGATGGATCACGTGATGATGACCTGTTCCGTTCACTCCTTCTAAAGCAGCTGGCCCCAGCCACGCTCAGAAGACAGGCTATGGGGCTAGATGGGCCATGGGGCTGACCCAGTCTGGCTGTGCTGATGTTCTGGCAGCTGGTTGCGCTGGGCCCAGTGAGGCAGTAGGGGGTGCCATGCCGCAGGGCTGGGGGGCGTGGCTGGGAATGTCCCGCTGCAGGGTGTGGGGCAGGGGACTCAGTAGCTGTGCTGTGCCGGACGGAGCAGTAGGTCCAGTCCAGATTTAAACGTCCCGTTGCCGGGGATTGCCTGGCCCTGCAGGGCGGGGTTTTGAGCCGGCGTCGAGCTGCCGCAAAGTCGCCATGGAGTGGAGTTACCCCAGCACAGGATCTGGGCCTGGGGCCGGGCGACCCCCTGGCATGGCCTTTGCAGTGGGCCTTTGCCAGCAGCTGGCCAGGCAGTTTGGGCACCGAGCAGCCCTGGCTGATTTCCCAGGGTGCTGGCTGGGTGGGAAGCCCCCGAGGCTCCCCAGACTGGCCCAGTGTGTCCAGGGAGGTTTTAACATTGAGCGACACAGGCTGGGATGCTGGGACCCCCTCGCCTGTTTCACACCCTGAGAGCAGTTAGCTCTTTCCCGACTTGCTCCCCACTGTACTGTGCCCCCACCCTCCAACCGGAGCGGGCGCCTAATGCCCTGTGGGAGACACGGAGCAGGGCTCATGGGTTCTTCTATCCCTGGCTCTGGGAAGTGAGTGGGGCCCCGTGGGTGAGAGCAGGGGGTCTGGGACCAGGACTCCTGGTCTAGTGGGTTAGAGTTGGGGGGGCTGGGCGTTAGTGGACCCTAAAGTCATTAAACTTACTTCAGTCGGGTTTCTCTGGCTCCGTCGGGTTTGCCCAGGGTGTCGTCAGAGGGAAGGTCACTGGCACGGGTGCTGCCCCAGCGGCTAGACCGGGCTGTAGCGAAACCCGCGAAGGCGAGCGGGTGCGGTAAATCCCCAGCCTGGGCTCGGGAGGGAGGCTCAGACTCGGTCTGCAGGGCCAGCCTGGAGCAAACCCGGGCCTGGCTGCGCGCGGAGGAGCCCCAACCTCTGCACCTCAGTCTGTGCGCAGGGACCGGCCGTGGCCCGGCTGCCGGGCGCCAGGGGGTTCACTGCGGCAGGAGGGGCGCCACGGCGAGTCCTTGCGGGGCGTCCTCCGCAGGCTGCCGGGGTCAAGGCTCCGCAGCCGACTCCACAGCCACCTAGCCGTGTTTTCATCCGGAGCCGGGCAGCGCCTCCCCCCAGCTCCGGTCCCCCCACCCCCAAGTGCTCCTGGCTCTGGGCCGACCCAGCCATAGAGCCGAGCGAGGCGAACAACGCACCCTGCCTGAGGCTGAGACCCGCCCGCGTGAATTGACCCACTGGAAAATGGGCCAAACCCAACCCTTCCCCTTCCCCGCTGGGGTTCCGGCTGCCGCCCGCCTTCCAAAAGGAGTTTCCAGGGGCTCATTTCCAACCCGGTAGGTTTGTTTCAAGGAAGAGGGGAATGAGAGAGTCATGCTCTCCCTCCCCCTCCTAAGTCCTCTGGGGCAGCTGGCATAGGGGGTCAGCGTCCTTGTGAATGAAGATCGCCTGGGGTGGGTGGACCCCCCTCCCTACAGAAGGCTTTGCTGGGGATGGGACAGGGGCTTTGTCACTTGAGCCTTCAAAAGCCCCCTCTAGCTCGACCACCAGATATGGGCTGGGAGCAGACGCCAGATGTACCCAGCAATCATCCCACCTCTCCCCCCACTCCAGGGCACCTTGGCTCTGAGCTCTAGGGCACCCGGAGGCCCCATTACAGTGCCAGCAGGGTGGAGGGCCCTGGGAGCAGGGGTGCATTTACATGGCCATAGGGGCACAAAGGGGAATCGCAGCTGCTCACTGCAGATCCCCGTATTAACACCATGTGTGTCGATAGCACCATCTGCTCAGCACCTGATAAACAATGGTTTCGTCCTCACAGCCGCGAGAGGCGGGGGGAAACTGAGGCACTGAACTGTGACGTGACTAGCTCAAAGTCACACAGGATGACAGTACAGGAGTTGGGGATAGAACCCAGGCATCCTGGCTCCCAGCCCGCCCTGCTCTAACCACCAGACCCGACTCCCCTACCAGAGCCAAGGGCCTGGGCAGATGGAGCCCACTCTGTCCTGCTTTCTGTCCTGGGCTGATGTGGGGAGCGGGGCTTTGTGGACCAGGAAGTCATTGAAGGGAGAAATCACCTGAGGTCGCCACCCCCCAGGCCTCAAGAGTCGTGGGTGGGGGGGGGCTAAAATATATGTTTATTAGATTGGTACAAGGACTCTGCCAAGCCTCCTCCCCAGCCCATCCTCCGCCTTCCCTGGAGCCAGGTGTTACCCATCAGCTCTGTGTTCTTGGGGAACCAGGACGCAGCACCCAGGCTGTCGGACTCACGAAAGACCTACAAACAGCACTGGAAAGGCCGTGGGAGACACACCTAGACCCCTGGGACAACCGCAGGGAAGCCTGGGACCGGAAAAGCAGGGCAGCACTGCATGATGGGGGATCTCTGCTCCAGATGTTAATGAACCCACGCCTGCACATACCCAGCTCAGCAGTTATCAGACCAATATTAGTAATAAATCCTTTATTGGGATCCAAAATACTCAAGCTCCCTAATTGCATTGTGAGCTCCCTCCAAGGAACACCGCCCGTAGCCAGGAATGACCAGCTCCCATGTCCAGCCTGAACAAAACAACGCTGGTATTCTCCCTTGTTTACACATAACCAAATCTAGTGTCTCCCTTGCACCATTGTTCTTTCCCTAGAAAAACCCCGACCCACGCTCAAGGAAGTGCTCTGATGCCTGGATCCAAAATCTGCATCCGTTCCACTGGGACTTCATCTTCTCCTGACTGATCGTGCTGGGGGCTCTGCCTGTCTCCAGCTCTCCGGACCCGCAGCTACCAACGCCACCTGGGCCCCCCGATCGATTCCAGCTTCACAGAGTGGTGCGAACCCAGCTCGCTCGCTCTCGCTCTCTCTCTCTCTGTGTAGCCTTCTGACCCTGACTTGTGGGATCAGTTATAGTTTTCTAAACTTGACTTTTATAATCAATTTTACGTTGGATTTAATATTATCCCTGTTTTCTTTGTTTGGCTCCCCTCATTACCTGGCAATAAATAACTTTTATGGTTAAGTTGGTTGCTTCTCTCTCTCCCTCCCCCTCGTGGGTGTTTTTTGGTTTCCCCATGTGCTCTGCAGCAAGGCTCCTCGTACCTAAGCTAAAGATCCCTGCAGCGCCCAAAAGTCCTGTGGGGTTTGCTCATCCAGTGGGTTACGCCCAGAACAATGGTAACGTGGAAGTGGGGATAGGGACGTGCTGAACCCGGGGCATAGGAGGGTGGCAGCCTGCGAGTGCTGATGGACCCGGTCCTCTCAGACGCGCTCTGTTAATGTGGGTGTGTTCGTCTGATTCTGGGGCTGGAGGAACCCAGCCCTGGGGAACCAAGGTCCGGCAGCAAGCTCCCTTGGGAGGGGACTTGCAGAAGGGAGAAGCAGAGCTCCGGATGAGAACGCGAGTGACACAAGCAGTACAAGGATAGAATTACAGAACCCCGCTCCCAGCAGAGTAACTGTGATAAATAAGGTTTCAGAGGAGCAGCTGTGTTAGTCTGTATCCGCAAAAAGAAAAGGAGGACTTGTGGCCCCTTAGAGACTAACCAATTTATTTGAGCATAAGCTTTCGTGAGCTACAGCTCACTTCATCGGATGCATTCAATAAACATACCCCAAAGTAACAGGCAAAGCTGGTAACACAGGAGAGACCCTACAATAACACACCAGGGCACATGGCAGCACCAGAGTTTAAAGGAGACCCTACAATAACACACCAGAGGCAGCAGCATACATAAGTAGGGCCCTACCAACTTCACAGCCGTGAAAAACGTGTCCTGGGCCGTGAAATAGCCCTGATCTCCCCCGGGCTACTGGGAGCGCCCCAGCTGGGGGGCTCCAGCTGCAAACCCGAGATTGGCTGGGGTGGGACGCGACTTGTCCTTCCCCTGCATGGCCACTCTGGGGGAAAGATCAGACCCACTTCTGGGTACCTCTAGGTTGGGACCCTCGTGGTTATAACACTGTGAAATTTTAGATGTAAACAGCTGAAAACATGAAACTGACCAATTTTAAAACCCTCTGGCTGTGATCAAAATGGACTGTGAATTTGGTAGGGCCCAATACGTAAGAGACCCCACAGTAACACTCTAGGGTAAGCAGCAGCTCTGGTGTTTATGAGAGACCCTACAATAACACAGCACTGCATGCAGCAACAGCAGGCTTGCAAGAGACCCTACAATAACACACCAGAGCCAGCAGCAGCTCTGGTGTTTATGAGAGACCCTACAATAACACAGCACTGCATGCAGCAACAGCAGGCTTGCAAGAGACCCTACAATAACACACCAGAGCCAGCAGCAGCTCTGGTGTTTATGAGAGACCCTACAATAACACACCAGTGTGTACAGCTTTCCTCAGTAAACAACAAGCATTACTTAGTGCAAAGCCAGAAGCCCCCCACCTACAAATGTACAACGACCCTAGTGGTTGGCTCTGGCCAGCATCCTCCACGTGTCAGACAGGCTGGTGGGAGGGGAGCCAGCCCAGCCCAGCTCCCCGAGTCCCTCTGGGTCTCTGTTCTCAGCAGACGACGCAGCGGGAGCGCTGGGGCCGGCTCATCTCCTTCCTCAGGTTCTGCATCTGCCTCCCCAACTGCGCCACCTCCCCCCGGAAGCCCTCGCGCAGCAGCCGCTCCTGCTCCTGGGGGACAGAGCCGAGGGTTAGCGCCACTGACATAGAGCTGTGGGGATCTGGAGCGGGGGCCAGGGGTCCTGGCTCCCACCTCCCCTCCCTGCTCTAACCACTAGACCCCACCCCACTCCCCTCCCACAGCCAGGAGAGAACCCAGGGGTCCTGGCTCCCATCTCCCCTCCCTGCTCTAACCACTAGACCCCACCCCACTCCCCTCCCACAGCCAGGAGAGAACCCAGGGGTCCTGGCTCCCACCTCCCCTCCCTGCTCTAACCACTAGACCCCACCCCACTCCCCTCCCACAGCCAGGAGAGAACCGAGGGGTCCTGGCTCCCATCTCCCCTCCCTGCTCTAACCACTAGACCCCACCCCACTCCCCTCCCACAGCCAGGAGAGAACCCAGGGGTCCTGGCTCCCACCTCCCCTCCCTGCTCTAACCACTAGACCCCACCCCACTCCCCTCCCACAGCCAGGAGAGAACCCAGGGGTCCTGGCTCCCACCTCCCCTCCCAGCTCTAACCACTAGACCCCACCCCACTCCCCTCCCACAGCCAGGAGAGAACCCAGGGGTCCTGGCTCCCACCTCCCCTCCCTGCTCTAACCACTAGACCCCACCCCACTCCCCTCCCACAGCCAGGAGAGAACCGAGGGGTCCTGGCTCCCATCTCCCCTCCCTGCTCTAACCACTAGATCCCACCCCACTCCCCTCCCACAGCCAGGAGAGAACCCAGGAGTCCTGGCTCCCAGGCCCATTTAATGCTATTCAGCCAATTCACCATTATCCCTTTCCCTGGCACCCGCTGGTGGTCCAGGAAGCGCTGGTAGCCCCCGGGCACTGAGTAGCTCCCCTCGCAGACCCATTCAGCTCCCAGAGCTGGGGACAGAACCCAAGGGGCTCCCAACCCCCTGCTCTAGGCAGCCCAGTCCCAGCTCCCCAGGGGCCCGGGGAAGGTACCTGCAGTTTCAAGGCCAGCGCTCTCTGCTGCTCGGCCAGCAGCTGCCTCCTGTCCTCCTCCATTTTGGCCGTCAGCTGCCGGACATGCTCCTCGTGGCTGCGCTCCTGGTCCTGCAGCAGCTGCTCTGTCCTGGTCTGCATCTCCTGGCACAGCTGGGCCTCCCGCTCGGCCGCCTCGGCTCGCGTCCGCTCCTCTGAGCGGTGGGGGACAGGGGGGAGCATGGGACGGGGAGGGACACGATCAGGACCAGGGGCTTGGGGTGCAGAGCCCTGGCCCAGGGTCACTGGGTCATCGGCACCCAGGAGTCACCAGATCTATGGAGCCAGAGCCCTGGCCCTGGGGTCACCGCGTCCATGGGGCACTGGATGTATGGGGCCCTGGGATCACTGGATCTATGGGGTGCTGGGGTCACCGGATCTATGGGTCACCAGGCCTGGGAGGCCATAGAGCCTGTACCCTGAGGCACCGGATCTATGGGGTTGAAGAGCCCTGGCATTTGTGGGGTTCAGGAGTCACAGGATCTATGGAGCCATGAGGGCCAGGGGTCACTGGGCTATGGGGCCATGGTGTTCAAGGGGGTGAGTCTGGGGCCAAGACATCACCAGATCCATAGGGCCGTGGGAGTCACAGGACTACGGGCCTCATCTCTGGAGTCACCTTCAATCTCCCTCTGTCTGTCCGTGAGGCTCTGGTCCGTCTGCAGGACGGCCTGGGCCACCGTCTCCTTGGACTTCAGAAACTGCTGCAGCACCTCAGCCGCCTGGGGGAATCGGGGAGAAAGGGGGTGAGCTGCGGCCCACAGCCCCTCCTGCCTGAACCTCCCCCGACCCACGTACCGAGGGGGCCCCAGACCGTGGGAGCCTCTGCGCTGCCCTCTCATCCCATCAGCCAAGGACGAGCCTGGACCACAAACCCGCAGCGGGATCCAGCGACGTCATTGGTACCTCCCCCGCCAGGGAGCGCGCGGGCTGTGTGTGCAGCTCAGAGCCACGGCCAGAGACAGAACCCAGGAGTCCTGACTCCCAGCCCCCCCTGCTCTAACCCATCAGACCCTGCTGCCCTCCCAGAGCCAGGGATAGAACCCAGGACTCCTGGCTCCCAGCCCCCATTAATGCTATTCAGCCATTTCACCATTATCCCTTTCCCTGGCACCAGCTGGTATTTCTCCACCATCTCCTGCTGGTCGTCCAGGAGGCGCTGGTAGCCCCCGGGCACTGAGTAGCTCCCTTCGCAGACCCGCTCCTCCAGCTCCTGCGACAGCTCCATGAGCGCGGCCGTGCACCGGTCCGACGAGGCCAGCTCGTTCCGGTGGCAGAGCTCAGAGCGCTTGGAGTCCAGCTTGTCCTGCAGAGAGAGGGGACGTTGGAGCCAGTGCCCCCTGGAGGAGAAAGACCTCGTGCCCCATTTCCTGCCCCAGAGAGCCAGCCGGCGCCTCCTGGAGCCCCCGTGCCCCAGTCTCCACTCCACAGAGCCAACTAGAATCCTGCCCTGGGGCCGGATCGGGGCCAGCACCCCCTGGAGGGGAAATGCCCGGTACCCTATTCCCGTGGGTTGCCCCAGGCTGGGGGGGGGGGGGTTGCACACCCATTGCAGGGTCCCTAGTACCTTCAGCTGCCACTGGTATTGCTGTTCCTCGTCCTTGAAGGCGCGCGCCATGAACGCCCGCAGCGCCTCCCGCTCGCACTGGGCGTGCAGCTCCAGCAGCTCCTGCACGCTCTCCGTGGGCAGCGCCGCCCGCCGGGCCAGCTGCTCCTCGTAGACAGCCACGGCCTCCCCCACCGCCGCCGAGTTCTCCATCTGGGCCAGGGCCAGCACCGCGCTCTCCATGCAGGGCACCGCCCCGCTGCGGATGGCGTTGACGTAGGTCACCGCCAGGGTCCCCAGCACTGCCGGAGGGGGGCAGGGTCAGAGCCAGGGGGCCCAGCGCGGCCGGAGGGGGGCAGGGTCAGAGCCAGGGGGCCCAGCACGGCCGGAGGGGGGCAGGGTCAGAGCCAGGGGGCCGAGCGTGGCCGGAGGGGGGCAGGGTCAGAGCCAGGGGGCCGAGCGTGGCCGGAGGGGGGCAGGGTCAGCGCCAGGGGGCCCAGCGTGGCCGGAGGGGGGCAGGGTCAGAGCCAGGGGGCCCAGCGCGGCCGGAGGGGGGCAGGGTCAGCGCCAGGGGGCCCAGCGCGGCCGGAGGGGGGCAGGGTCAGAGCCAGGGGGCCGAGAGTGGCCGGAGGGGGGCAGGGTCAGAGCCAGGGGGCCGAGCGTGGCCGGAGGGGGGCAGGGTCAGCGCCAGGGGGCCCAGCGTGGCCGGAGGGGGGCAGGGTCAGCGCCAGGGGGCCCAGCGTGGCCGGAGGGGGGCAGGGTCAGAGCCAGGGGGCCCAGCGTGGCCGGAGGGGGGCAGGGTCAGAGCCAGGGGGCCCAGCGTGGCCGGAGGGGTCAGGGTCGGGGCACCCTCCTCCCATCCAGCCCCTCCCACGACCTGCCCATACTGGCCCTGGACCCCTCCAATCAGCCAGCAGCTCCCTGCCCTGGCCAGCAGCCCTGGACCTGACCCGACCCTGCAGCACATACGCCAAGCCTGGGATGTGCCCCCATCCCTCCTCCCGCACTGGGATCCCCTGTCCCCAGCCCCGCTCAGAATGCGCCCCAATCCCCATCCCCTGCCCCCAGGACGCATCCCATCCCCCGAGGCTGCACCCCGATCCCCACTCACAGGTGCCCGTCACCACGTGGCCGCCCGGGAGGGTTTTGGTGCCCGTGTGCTGGTGGACGTGGCTGCAGAAGCACTGTGTCTGCTCCAGGAACTCGGGGCTCAGCGCTGTCTCGGGCAGCTCGGCCAGCCGGGGCAGGTCGCAGCGCGGGGCAGGGCGGTCGAACACGAAGCACTTGCGGGAGGGGAAGTACTGTCGCAAGTACTTCTTGGGCAGATCCAGCTTCTCCGGCTGGCCTGGGAGAGACCCCCAGGGTCAGACCCGCAGGCCCAGCCAGCCTGGTACCCCCCAGTGCCTCCTCACTGCCCCCACCAGACCCACAGCCCCTCCCTGCCTCCCAGATCAGACCCCTGCCCACCTAGCCCAGTCCCCACCCACATTTGGCACCTTCTCTGCGTTTCAGGGCGTTCTCCAGGTACTCGTCCTCAGTGATCTCCCGCCCGTCCAGCTTCAGCTGCAGCGTGAAATCCCGCACGGCCCACACAAAGGCCGGGAAGAACTGCACGAACTCGGCCGAATCCTCCCCCTCCTGCTGGCCGCCCTCGCCTGCCGCTTTCACCTTGATGCGCTCCGTCAGCTCCGTCACGTAGCTGGGGGCCAGCTAAGAAACTGGAGATGCAGCGCCCCCCCGCAAGGGGTCCCTGAGCCCAGCACCCACAGCCCTCACCCCGTTGCCCCTGGGAACAGCACCCAACAGTGGCACTGGCTACTGGCACCCACCCCAGACCCCTGCTCCCATCAGGGTGCGACAGGTGCTACCCAGTTATGGGAGGGGAATCCCAGCTGCCCCCACCTCCCGGACTCCTGGGTCCCTCCCAGCAGGGGCAGGATACTGAAGCTGCTCCAGGGCGCACTGGTCGATGGTGCCCAGGCTGTTGTAGACCAGGGTGCTGCTGAGCAGCACGGCCAGTGCAAAGATCCATGCGTCATTCTTCGTATCGCCCTGCGGGGAAGGTAGAGGGGGGGAAATCGCAGGGCATCAGTGTTCGACCCCAGCAGAGGGGCGGGGCGGGTGGAATATAGGGCAGGGATCTGGACCTCCCCCTGCAGGTCACAGAGGGAAGCACAGCCCACCAGGCCCCACTGCAGAGAAGCAGGGTTGTGGGGTGTGACAAAGTGGGGGATTTTCTTAGTGTTTTATGTGAACACTGTGTGTGCCTCAGTTTCCTTGTGTGCTGCAGGTGTAACACGGTGGGGGGAGGGGGCTTGTAATTTCAGGGGACCAGGTGTGACCTTGCCTAGCAGCTGTGACCCCGAACACTGTCCTGGAGATGGGGAACCCAGCAACTTGTGACGGGGAGGCCCAGCCCAGTTTGGGAGCCAGCCGGTTCTGGCTGGGGACGACGACAATGGGCTGAGGAGAGAGAGGCCCGGGGACCTGACCAGCCAGAGGGGAACAAAGGAGGGAAGAGAGGGGCTCAGGCGGCCTGTTCACCTGGGACCGAAGACAAAAGGACAGAGGAGGGGCTGGTGGGGGAGGGGATTTAGGGGGCTGGGGACAAGGAGCAGCCGCAGCCCATGGGGAGCTGGCTGGGGCTGAGACTGGCCAGGCCCCAGGGCCCCGAGAACTGCCTGGGCTGGGTCCAGATCTTCAATAACCCTCCTGTGTGCCGCTGACTGGGAGTCCCTGCAGCTAGAGATCGGGGGGGCGCTGCTCTCTCTGGGGGTGGGAGCCCTAGGGGTCCAGAGCGAGGGGATTCCCTGAGGGGGCCCCAGCAGAGCCAGGCTGCTGGGGGCTCGGAGATGCGGTTCCAGGAGGCGGTAAGGCCAGAGGGCCCAACCCCAGAGAGAGAGTGAACCCCCCAAGAAGGACTGTCACATTGGGGGGTTCCTCCCAGGGTCTGTATGGAGCCAAAAAGAGAGCAAGGCCTGGGAGTCTGTGACAGGGGGATATGGGGCAGGGAGCCGGAACTTCCCCTGCAGGTCAGGGGTGGGGAGCATGGCCCACCAGACCCCACTGCAGAGGGACAGAGTGGGGGGATATGGGGCAGGGAAGACTGACCTATGCTGATGCCTGGGCCACCCACCTCCAGGCCCAGAGGCCCTTCCCACATCCAGAGGCCCTTCCACATCCCTGGAGCCGAGACCCAGCCCCACGCCTCCCATCACCCCCCACTCACCTTCTCCACATCCCCCAGCCCCTCGGTGTCCAGCAGCACCAGGGTGTGGCCGGCCCGGCGGGGGTGGGGCAGGCACCACATCCAGATGCCCTTGGTGTGAGACTGCACCGTGGCGCCCAGCGAAAACCCTGGGGAAAGAGGGGTGGAGCTGGGACAGATGCAGAGCCATGGAACCCAGGAGTCCTACCTGCCAGCCCCTCCCCCCGCTCTAACCACTAGACCCCACTCCCCTCCCAGAGCCAGGGAGAGAACCCAGGAGTCCTGGCTCCCAGCCCCCCTGCTCTGACCACTAGACCCCACTCCCCTCCCAGAGCTGGGGGCAGAGAGGGGCCAGGGGAACAATTGGCTGGCGCTGACCTGTCACCTCTGTCGACCCTTCCCCACTACCCTGGATCACCCCACGGGCCTGTAAGGATAAGGCCCTTGTCTGCAGCCATTAGCTAAGAAGCAGGAAGTCACATCCTCACATTCCATCAGGCTGTTAAGAAGGAGACCCCGTCCTAATGGCCCCCACTAGCACCCCATAAAGAAACAGATCTTAAGATGGTTAAAGAAAACGTAGTTTGATACAGTCTGTCTGGCAAGAAATCACCTATCAACAGCTGTGGTTGTGAAATCCTCATTTCTGTATTTTTTTATCTTTATGGTCCCCACGTCCCTATTGTTTGTCTGGATGATCTCTGCCTGGTTCTTTGATTGCTTCTGTCTGCTGTATAATTAACTTGGCTAGGTGTAAATTAATTAAGGTGGTGTGGGATGATTGGTTAGAGAATTTTGTTACACTATGTTAGGATTGGTTAGTAAAATTTTAGTAAAATGATTGGTTAAAGTACAGCTAAGCAGGACTCAAGTTTCACTATATAAACCGGGGTCCAAGAAGGAGGCCAGGAAAGAAGGAAGAGAAGAAGGAAAGACCAGGAAGAAGAAGAACTCACCCCCAAGACATGGCCTAAGCTCAAAGTTGCTAAGAATCCTCTGCACGACCGTGACGGGCAGCAGCCAGAATCCCGACAAGACCGACCTTGCCCAGCCAACAGGGAAAGTCCACTTGCCTGATCAGGATTGGTGAGCAGGGCACTTTACGCTTAGCATGTGTATTCTGCTTGGTAATGGTTAATAAATAGAGGCTAAGGATATTACTGTGTAAGGCTCTTTCACTGGGAAAAGGTCCTGCAGACCCGCTAAGAGTACGCCCTGAGCCCTAGAAATTGGGTAAAGGGGGTGCCCCTGAGCATGTGTGAGTTACAAAGAATTTTGTGCGGGTAACAGAGTTGGTGGAGAATGCGGGCAGCCTAAGGTCGTTAGGACCGAATTGATCTAGCCTAACACATTCACAGCAGCAGAATACCGGTGATAATTTGTCAAAAAGGGTCGCTACCTGCTTGGCAGATTGTTCACCCTGAAGCAAGAGGAGGGAAAGGAAACAAAGCAAAGGGACCAGGAGGGGTGGGGGTTAGCTGAAGAGCCCCCCCTCCTTGCTAAATGGGTAGCAGAACAAGGTCCATGCCTATGGGGATAAGATTCTTTCCAGGGGAGGGATGCCCCTGAGTGCGCCTGGAAGGGGTCTGAAGCATTCTGTGAGTGCACGAAGCCAAAACCAAAGGAAAAGGCTATCAAAGCAGCAGCTGGGTGGGCATTGTGCAAAGCTGTCACTAATCTCTCCAGCCTGGTAGCACTCCAGGAAAGACAACCGGAGGATTACAGACTCGATTTGGATGTAGTTAAGGATAATTTGGCTCAGTATAAGGCATCTCAGTGAGGTAGTGCGGCTTCAGCATTACAGAATGTAACAGCTCTACAGGCGAAAACAGGAGAGTGTGAGCAACTGAAACGGAAAGTAGAAAACCTGAATGGGGAGGGATCTACATTGCAAATGAAGCGGGGGGTGCTCAAGCAGCTGTCATAACGGTGTTACAAGAAAATAAGGATCGGGCCCAGACAGGCAGTGACCACACAGTCTGCAGGCAGCGAACAGAGAAACTGGAAAACGTGGTGGGAGCCCAGAGGGGCACAGTAGCAGTAGTAAGGGGAGGCGTGAGTGTGGGCATGGGGGATACAGACACCTGGGAGGACACTTGGAGTGGGACAGTTGGATGGATTCTGAAGAGAAAGATCCTGGATGCTCATACGGCTTGGTGCTTTTCCTGAGGGGTCCTATGCCCCCGCATAAAGGGACTTGAAGGATTTGAAATTAAAAGCACAACAATTCAATCCTGTGGTTCCAGTTACCACAAGAGTGGTAACAAGAACAGAACTGACCCAATGATGCACACCAACGAAGGGAAATAATCCAAAATGTTACAGAGATTTCTGATTCTACCCAGACCAGATACAGGCGGCTGCTCAGTTATTGGGACCTCTAGAAAGGGACACGTATTTGGACTGGATGGTGAAGGTGTTGGCACGAACTGGGTGGAGGCCAGCAGATTATGAGGTTCTAGCCCAGGTCTGTTCCAGTGCTTCTGACTGGGCAGCAATACGCAGTGCCGAGGGGCAGTTAGGCGCAAGCGGTGTTCTTGCCCCTGGATGGGACTGGGTGAAGGAAGTAATGAAGGTAGGGATGTTGGCCTGACAACTGGGGAAATTGTTCCATGTAACAGAAAGGGCCATGTGACTCCCCGGAAGTGTATGTTATTAAAAAGGAGATACTGGCCATGGCTGCTGGGGTTGTGCCAGTAGGAATTGGAACCCCACCGGATTTCAATACTTCCATTTTTAAGACTGCATTGTTAGATGTTTTGAATTCAAAAATGAAAGTGATTTTAGGACCCATAGATCCAGCTCGGGGATACTCGGAGTTGAAACATGAGATTTTTCAAGCAGCTGTAGTTTTTCAAGACATGCAGGGACACACGGGAAAAGGAAATAGGAACAGGAGACTGGAACCTGTACAGGCAGTAACTTTTGCCAACAACGGGCCCACAGATCTCAGGGCCCAATGCACAATGGCATGTTAGAGGAAGAGGACAGGGAGGTGGCAGCAGAGGAGCAAGAGGAAGAAATGCATCTGGACATGGGTATCAGATGCAGACTAGAGGATGTCTGGCTGAAGGTGGGAAAGGTACATTGAGAGGGGAAGCATGGAGGAAACTCATGATGGCAGGGGAACCAAAAGAGAAATGGGACGGGAAGCCCACAAGTGAGTTACTGCAGAGGGCTGCCCAGTTAGAGGAATTGATTGACAGGGTTCCTGTGACTCCCAGAACAACCCCCAAAGCACTTAAGATGAGCTATTATCAGCAGGAGAGGGGGGCGGGGGCGGGGGGGGGGGGGAGGAGAAAACCTTTTGTAGTGGTAATTAAGGTGGGCCATTTCCAGCAGTTAACAAGAACCTCTGAGGAACAGTGGGGGGGTGGGAGGGGAGAGAATAAACATGGGGAAATAGTTTTACTTTGTGTAATGACTCATCCACTCCCAGTCTCTATTCAAGCCTAAGTTAATGTAAAAAGAAAAGGAGTACTTGTGGCACCTTAGAGACTAACCAATTTATCTGAGCATGAGCTTTCGTGAGCTACAGCTCACTTCATCAGATGTATACCGTGGAAACTGCAACAGACTTTATATATACACAGAGAATATGAAACAATACCTCCTCCCACCCCACTGTCCTGCTGGTAATAGCTTATCTAAAGTGATCATCAGGTGGGCCATTTCCAGTACAAATCCAGGTTTTCTCACCCTCCACCCCCAGCAGGAGAGTGAATTTGTGGGGGGGGGGTGGAGGGTGAGAAAACCTGGATTTGTGCTGGAAATGGCCCACCTGATGATCACTTTAGATAAGCTATTACCAGCAGGACAGTGGGGTGGGAGGAGGTATTGTTTCATATTCTCTGTGTATATATAAAGTCTGCTGCAGTTTCCACGGTATACATCTGATGAAGTGAGCTGTAGCTCACGAAAGCTCATGCTCAAATAAATTGGTTAGTCTCTAAGGTGCCACAAGTACTCCTTTTCTTTTTGCGAATACAGACTAACACGGCTGCTCCTCTGAAACCTAAGTTAATGTAGTTAGTGTAGTAACCAGAGCATGAAGGAAGCTGACCAGCCTAGAGATGCTGGATCCAAACCCTACAGGAAGGGGATGAAGAAATGGAGCAATTACTGAAGCAAGAAACAATCCAAGGAAAATGACATGTACACAAAAACCCCAGAGGGGAAGCGTGGGTCACGGTGCATGACTCAGACCCTGGGGAACGGCCTAGAAGGTGGCTAGTGCCTCAGAAAACCAGGACTGAATTGATTCAATATGTGCATGAGCAAGGGCATTTGGGGGTGGACAAAACTCTAGAAAGGATCAAAGATACAAGGTGGTGGCCCAGCATAAGAGAAGATGTAAAGCGGTGGTGTAATCATTGTTTGCAATTGCTATGGTCAATGCAGACCCTCAGGTACAAAAGGGTCCCATTGCTCACCAGAGTGAGGGTCCGTGGGCCTGGTTACAGATAGACTATATTGCACCCCTACCAGTCACCACGTGAAATAACAAGCATTGTTTGGGGATTGTAGATCCCTTTACAAAATGGATAGATGCCATCCCAGCAAAGACTAACACAGCTTTGACTACAGCCCAGCAATTGTTTAATGTGGTGTTTAGCCAGTGGGGGCTGCCCAAGGAAATCAATTTGGACCAAGGCCCACACTTCATTGGGGAAACGCTGCAGGGACTGCGTAAAATACTCGGCATTAAGCAAAGGTTCCTCAATGCAGGCCACCCGCAATCCTCAGGACAAGTGGAACGAACTCACCACACTCTAAAGGATGCTCTAAGAAAAATGGTAAAAGAAAATGGAGAAGATTGGGATGAAAAATTGTCTATGATTGTAATGGCCTTAAGGTCAGTCCGAGCGAGTCGTGATTATAGTCCCTTTGTAGCAATGACGGGAAGGGACATGAGAACACCCCAACAGTGGTGGCTAGATGTAAATATTCCAGATGGGTGGCAACCCAGAGTGCTAAATGACCAGTGGATCCAGTCCCTTTCAGAGGCACTAACGGAAACCCACAAGAACGTAGCAGAACAATTGGGTGTTCCCATAAAAAAGGTGGGTAAAAGTCTGGGCTGGGTGAAGAAGTCCATTGAGTGGGAGGTTGGAGGCCAGGTGCTGCATCGGAAATATGCAGAACAAGCTCACTCTTCAGGAATGAAATGGGAAGGCCGCAGGGAACACTGTGGAAAAAGGCCAGCCCAACAGCATACCAGGGAGAAATCTGGACAGAAAGGCTAAACAAGCCAAAGTTAAAATGGTTCCATTCGGCACAGCTTAAACCATGGAAAGGGGATTCCAAGCAGTGACCTCTAATCAGCCCCACCAAGGGAGGGGTTAAAATTTTTTATTTTGTCTTTCAGAGTTCCAAGAAAAGGCCGGTGCCAGCAGAACACAAGCACCCTGGGCACCATGATAAAGAAGCTGCTGTCGCAACTGTGTGCGGGTGCGTGTTTTATGTTACATGTTGTTTGTCAGATAGCCAACCCAATCCGCTGGCCTGTGGACATTCATGCAGTAAATGTATGGAGAAACAATTGCTGGATGATGGTACAATGTTGGCTTAATCCATCAGTATTCAATCACACCAGCTATTGCTTGTGTTGGGAAAAGAGATTTGCTTATTATCCTAACATAACGGCCGGCGGGCCATCACCAGAAGCCCCATCCCAATCTAGTTTGTCATTAATGACTGGATATTCTAACACTGTGATGGGAAATTGTACGGGACCAAAAGCCACAATATAAAATATTGACTGCCTTAAGCTCACATGGAAACAAGACGGGGTCAATCCTCTTAGTATCCCTGTATCCACCCCAAAATGTGGAATACTGAAGGTCATGGGGTTTGCTTGGCAGCCAGGAGGAGACATTGAAATTAGGATGTTAATGGGGTTTAATGAGCCTCACCAGCTTCAAATCTGGGAATCAAGGCCCAGCACACTGACTATTCCCTCAGGGCAACAACTGCAAATATCAGGAAACTGCCCCAACGTGCCTGGGCAGGTGGATATCCGGGATATAGGTGAGATGGGCCCCCCAGAATGGATTAAAGAAACCCAGGGCAGTGAACATACTAAAAATCAACCTAAAGTTCCATTACAATATCAGTGTCTGACTAATTTTCATAATATCCCTGCCCAACTAGGTGAATATATATTGCAAAACATCTAGGTAAAATTAAATTTTAAAATAATTGCCTCCAAACTGGATTTGCAAAAATCAAGAAGACACCCAATAAATGGACCACATGTGGTAAAACTGGATCATAGGGTGTGACATACTATACCTTGTGGGAGCATCCTGTAACCCCCATATTCCTCATTTACATATAATGCTGATATTGCATATAAAACATGCCATGTGAGAGGTGTGACGAAGCGGGAGGTTTTCTTGTTGTTTCCAATGGTTTGCATGCAGAGTGTACGACTCAGTTTCCCTGTGTGTTACTAGTTTAACAAGGTGGTGGAAGAGGGAGTTTGTTGTTACAGAGGGACAGAGAATGGCCTGGAGAATGGACACTTCAGCGACTGGTGACCGGGAGGCCCAGCTCGGGAGTCACAGCCAGTTCTGGCCAGTGGGAGGACATGGGCTGTGGGGAGAGGATCCCGGTGACCGGACCAGCCAGTTCCAGCCAGTGGGGAAACAAAGGACGGATGAGAGGAGAGGCTGAGAGGAGAGGAGACCCAGGCGACCCTGTTTACCTGGGACAGAAGACAAAGGACAGAGGCGGCGCCCGGGGGACAGTGATATCGGATGCCCAGCTGGAAGGAGGGGGCTGCTGGGCTAGGAGGAGAGAGCCCACCTGGAGGCAGGACAGATCTAGATATGCTGTGCTGAGGGAGGCCAGGCCTGAGGCCAGAGAGTTTCCTATGCTGGGTTCAGACGCTCAATAAACCCTCCTGTGTTACGCTGGCTGAGTGTCACTCCGGTCTAGAGAACAGGGTTGCATTATTCCCTCTGGGAGTGGAGGCCACGGGGGTCCAGAGCGAGGGGACTCCCTGAGGTGGCCCACAGCAGAGACAGGCATGCTGAGGCTCAGAGAGGTGCAGTTCCAGGAGGTGGAGGGGCTTAACCCACAAGAAAGAGTGGATCCCCAGGAAGGGCTGTCGCTCTGAAGGGGGCTCCCCTCAGGGGACCGTACGGAGCCAAGAGAGAGCACGAGTCCTGTGAGTCTGTGACATGAGGTATCATGGCAAAGATTATGATCTGCTGAAAACCATTGTTCCATCTAAATATGTGTATCATCCATGCATGTGAAGTTATGAGAATGTGCTGTGTGGTTATCACCAAGATACGCTGTGGGTTTGGGAGGCATCCAGGTACTAGCTCCCCAGAGATAATGTCAAGGAAAGTAACCAATGCCCAGGTGGGTGTCAAACCATCAACAGCTGTTGTCCAGCAAGGGAGCTACAATTCAGTGCCTCACCGGCATGAGGCCACACCAGGGGAACTGCTCAGCCTTGCCTGGAGACGCAGCAATGCCCCCCAGACATGCCTGGACTTGCATTCTCCGAGCACCTGGACTAAGGGTATAAAACAGAGCACAGGGGCCCCATGCTGGGCCTTTCTCCTCCCCCACACAACATTGCAAGCAACAAGGACACTCGGAAGACTGAAGACTCCAGCAGAGGGGACTGGCCCAGGTTTCAAGGGTGAAAGCTGTGTTCTATGAACTGCAATATCCAGTAAGGTGAGAAAACCTGCTTTGTCTAGATCAGGGGTCAGCAACCTGGGCACGTGAGCTGATTTTTGGTGGCACTCTGCTGCCAGCCGGTGTCCTGGCCACCGGCCCCGCTCAGCCCGCCGCCTGCTTGGATGAACGGAACCCAGGGCCGGCAGCGGGCTGGGCGGGGCCGGCGGCCGGGACCCCGCCTGGCAGGGCCGGCGCACAGAACCCCAGACCGGCAGAGGGGGCTGAGCGTTCCTGGCCGCCGGCGCCACTCAGCCCGCTGCCAGTCTGGGGTTCCATCCACCAGCACCTGTAAATGTCAAATGTGTTATTGGCACACCAAACCTTAAATTAATGAAGATTTGACACCCCACTTCTCAAAGGTTGCTGACCCCTGGTCTAGATGTTGCCCAGGCGAACAGGATTGGGAGTTTAGACTGTGTGCTTATATTTTGTTTTTGTTTGGTAACTAACTCTGGACTTTTCCCCTATCACTTATAATCACTTAAAATCTATCTTTTGTAGTCAGTAAATTTGTTTCACCGTTTATCTTTACCAGTGAGTTTGCCTGAAGTGTGTGGTAAATCTGCTCAGGTTACAAAGGCTGGTGTACATCCACTTTCCACTGATGAAGTGGGGAACCAATTAATAAATTTGCACTGCTTGTCTTGAGCAGTGCTGGATGGTATATTCCCGAGGTGCAAGGCTGGGAGCTGGGGGGATTTGGCAGGTGCTTTTCTCTGTGTGATCCAGGAGTGGCTCTGGGAGCGTTCATGCAACCTAGCTGGGTGTAGGGCTCCACGTGCGACTGTGCTGAGGGAGGGAGGGGTTGCTGCTGGTCACTAGCAAAGCATGGTGGGAGACAGCCCAGGCTGGAGAATAAGGGTGGCACAGCGGTCCCACGGTCCCAGGCTGCACCCCGGGGATCCTGTCACGTATGGAACAAGTTCTTATATCACCAATACGATCTCTAAAGCAAACTGAGCTGGACCTCACCGGGTTAAATATGTCCAAGGTCGTACCTCAATGTGCCCCACACATACAAACGCTCCGTAAGAGGTGGGCAGCATGGTTACATTTAGGGTATGTTGAAAAACCCATAAGGATTAGCATGTGTATTCTGCTGGATAACTGTTAATAAATAGAGGAGAAGGATATTACTGTGTAAGACTCTTTCACTGGGAAAAGGTCCTGCAGACCTGCAAAGCGCACGCCCTGAGCCCCAGGAACTGGGTAAGGGTGGGTGCCCCCTAGACTGGGTGAGTAACAGAGAATTTTGTGCAGGTAAGAGGCCCATCTAGCCTGATATCCCGCCCCCTCCCTCCCCTGGGATTAGCCACACGGGCCTGTCTACCCTGGTATCCTCCCCGCTCCCTGGATCAGCCCCATGGCCCCATCCACCCAATATTTTCCCAGCTGAGCCGAGCACCCTGCAGTGCTCACCTCCCCGGTCCTTGCCAGCCAGTCGGTTCAGGAGGTAGGACTTGCCGGTGCGGTACAGCCCGGCGATGGCCACCACCACCACGGGCTGGCGGAAGCTCTGGAGCAGGCCCAGGGCTCGCTGGTTCAGCTGCAGCTCCCCGCCTGGCCAGTTCTCGATCAGGCACATCGGCTCCTCCATGGCGCCTGGCTGTGCCGTGCCGGGGGCAGCCTGGGGGACAGCAGGGATAAATGAGGCTGGGAGCAGGGGACACAGAGGGGGCCATTTCCGCTTCCCCCCAAAGGCAGCCAGGAGGGGGTTGGGGCTGGACTGACAGGGGCCACTCACCTGGGCCAGGACTGGCGGGGCGGGTCGAAACGCCTGCAGTGGGACCACGCGCTCCCTCTGTCCGGGAAAGACAACGGGGGGCAGACACATCATGGAGAGCGAGAGAGCACGGCCAGATCCACCGCCTGGCAAAGGGCTGATGCACCCCACCATCTGCCACAGAGCCGCTCAGCACCTTCCCCCTCTAGAGGGCGCCAGCCCCGATGCACCCCAGAGCAGTGACTGGCTGGCTCAGGGCGGCGGGGAATGGGACACCAGCTCCCACTTAGCTACATGCTCCATGGCTACAAGTGGTTCCATGTGTGACATTAGTTGCTGGGTCTCAGCCCAGTTCCTAGCAGGAAGCCCCCCCCGCCCCATACAGCCCAACCCCCAGCTGTCTCTAAGCCTTGCTGGAACCAGGAACAGGCCCCCCACACCCCTGAAGCCCCTTCCCCCCAGTCCCTGGGGCTGCCCCCGACTGACCTTGGGCTCTGGCACCGAAGGCTGGGCATCGCTGGCTGCGGCTCTCCTGGGTGGGGCGCCTCCTGTGGGGTCCATTGGGTACCCCACAGAGTAATCATCGCCTTCCTGCTTGGAGCAGAAACCTCCGCATTAACTGGAGCCTGCCCCGCCTCCACCCACTGCACAGATCCCATGGCACCCCACCCCACCCCCACGTGAGCCCCTCTGCATCTCCCAGCACCCAGCCCCCTTCCCCCACTGCACAGATCCCATGGGATCCCCCACCCTGTGTGAGCTCCTCTGCTTCTCCCAGCACCCAACCCTCTTTCCCCCACCACGACAAAGATCCCAAGGGACCCCCTCCCCCATCCCCACGTAAGCCCCTCTGCATCTCCCAGTGTCCAGCCCTCACCCACTGTACAGATCCCATGGAACCCCCACCCTGTCCCCCCATGAGCCCCTCTGCATCTCCCAGCACCCGGCCCCCGCACAGATCCCATGGGACCCCCACCCTGCCCCACCATGAGCCCCTCTGCTCTCCCAGCACCCGGCCCGCTTCCCCCCAGACCCTCCCTCACCTGCCCGCTTCCCCCCAGACCCCCCCCTCACCTGCAGGTCATTGCAGATCTCACTCAAGAGAACGGGCTTGTCCCGGGACAGCAGGTCCACGACACGCTCCAGGAAATCAGCCAGGACTGGAGAGAGAGGACAGACCAGGACTCAGTGGGCCGGGGGCTCCTGTCCAGTCACCCCCTCCCCCTGCCCCACTCTGGCTCAGGTAGTGAGGTTTGTGCTGCTGCTGCAGCATGGGCTAGGACTCCTGGGTTCCGGTCTGGGCGCTGCGCTGGCCTGCTGGAGGAGCTGAGGCAAGTCACGGCCCTGCTTTGTGCCTCAGTTTCCCCTGCTGTACAAGGAGGACAAAGGTGCTGACCTCTTGGAAATGGATGGCTGGGAAGCACTAGAGAAGAGCCAGGGATCATTATCATTACAGGCAGCTGAGCCCATTGTTCCCAGCAACTGAAGTGGTGATTTTCCAGCCCGAAGACGGGGCCAGAAGTGGGAGACTAACGGGCTTTTAGGTCCTGGCAATTCCACATAAAATAAAATTGTTTTGGGTTGAACAAAAGAGTGGAACTGCTCAAAGCTTCCAACCAATAGAAAAAGCCCAAAAGCCGACGTTTCGGGCCAAAGGAAACGTTCCGCCAACACACCGAGAGCCCAAGGCTTTGGGGACAGTTTTGCGGCTTAAATAAAATAGGAAATCTCAAAATGGAAAGTTGTCTTGAACCAAAAACCAGACTTCTGCCATTTTGGGAAGTTTTCTGTTTTTTTCCCCCTACTCCAACAATATGGAGAAACTGACAGGAATTCAGGGGAAATGTCTCCGCTGCCAAAGCTGCATTTTTCACCAAAAAAATTTCTCCAGCAGTACCCACATTCCTGAGTTTTCACCTAGAATTATCTCTGCTATTTATTAGGTGTATTACGGTAGCGCCCAGGCGCCCTGGTCCTGGCATACGCCCTGGTTGCGCTAGGCGCTGTACACTAGGATTGCTATTTATTAGGTGTCTTATGGTAGCACTGAGGCATACCAGTCGGGCCCATGACCTCGTTGCGCTCGGCACTGTACAGACACCCCACAGGCTGCCTGTGACGAAGTGGGACTATTCTTAATGTTTCCTCCGAATATTGTGGGGGTGCCTCAGTTTCCCCTATGCAGTTCTTAAGTATCTAGGGGGTGGGGTAAGGGTGTATGATCATTGCAGAGCCCTAGAGGGCAGGTGTGTGCAGGGGTCTGGACACAGAGAATGGCTGACACCCTGTTTCCTAGCAACTGATGGCCTGGGCCCTTCCCCCCTGCAAGGTGAGAGCTGAAGGGTTGGAGAACAAAGGAATCAGGTGACCTCCTGGCCCGGGAAAGGAATAAAGCCCAGAGGAGGAGGAGCTGGAGGGAGTTTCAGTTTGGGGCTGGCTGGGACATGGAGTGAAGGGCAGACGTGGTTGTCTGACTCACTGCCCCCCAAAATGGACCCAGCCGAGAGGTCCCGTTCTCTGCACCTGCAAGCTCTGTTTTAGACCATGTTCCTGTCGTTTAATAAACCTCTGTTTTACTGTCTGGCTGAGAGTCACGTCTGACTGCGAAGTTGGGGTGCAGGACCCTCTGTCTTCCCCAGGACCCCGCCTGGGCAGACTCGCTGTGGGAAGCGCACGGAGGGGCAGAGGATGCTGAATGCTCCGAGGTCAGACCCAGGAAGGTGGAAGCTGTGTGAGCTGCGTGTCCTGCAGACAGGCTGCTCACAGGAAGGCGACTTCCCCAGAGTCCTGACCGGCTTCGTAGGGAGCAGTTCCAGAGCATCGCCCAGGGACTCCGTGACACTGCCCACCCACCCCCAGCCAGACACTTACATGCCCCATCCACCACTCTGTTCCCCACCATGGTCTTAGGGTTCCGACTCAGGACGTAGTCCTTAAAACACCCCATCTGCTCCTGGAACGTGGGGTGCAGCTGGTCTGCAGGAGATGGCGGCTCACCGTGCCCTCCATCCACTCGGGGGGAGCAGAAACGGAACAGCTTGCGGCAGGGGAATAACCTCTGTACGCAGCTGGATGGGGAGTCCTCCAAATCTGCGAGAGAAAGAGGGGCGGCGGGTGAATCCTGGGGTCACAGCGAGCAGCAGGGGAAGCTGAGGGCAGAGATGTGGCCCCTCTGGGGCAGGGCACAAAGGCTGTTGATACATGGACCCCTCATGCAGCATGGAGATGCAACCACCTGTGGAGTGGGGGATGTTTATACAGGGACCCCAGCCCAGCGCAGAGATGCGGCCCCTGTGGGGCAGAACGCAGAAGCTGTTTCAAACCAGTGCTCGTTTAGGACAGGAAGTGGAGCAGGCTCCTGTACCCCTCTGAGACGGCAGGGGTGACTTGGGGAGGCAGGATGGAACCTGAGCCAGGCTGGGGACCGGCCCGGACACCAGGGTTCCCCTCCCCTGGGGGAAGGGCCCCGATGGCCATGCACCTTGCGGGGAGCTGAGAGCCGAGTCCAGCTCATGGCCCGTGGCTTCCAGCACCTCGTCCAGGCAGGGGTCGGGTGCCACGTCTCGCAGGCACCACACGAAGCTGGGCAGCACGCTGCTCAGGAGGAAGCTGTTCTCCCAGGAGCACTCGTCCAACACTTGCACCATCTGGGGCAGATCCCTCACGTACCTGTAGGGGGTGCCGTGAAGGAAAAGACAGGGCCAAGCGACGGGAACTGAACCAGGCTGGGATGGAGCAGGGCGGGGCGAATGGGACATGGGGCCTTTCCCCTCCAGGTCACCAGCTCCCATCCAGCCCCAGGGCAGGGGACTGGCTGGGGGGGAGGATGGGGCCTTTCCCCTCTAGGGGGCGCCAGCCCTGATCCAGCCCCAAGGTGAGGGGACCAGCAGGCACAGAGGGGCAGGGAATGGGACATGAGGCGGCCATGCTGGGAAGGATACGTCAGACGGTCGAGCTGCCTCTGGGGGTCACCCTCACTCCTGGTGTTATAGACCAAGACGCTGCTGAGCAGCACGTTCAGGAGGAAGAGTTGGGAGAGCTTTGTCTTGTCGCCCTGCAATGGCGTAGAGAGGCACATGAACAGCGGGCCTAAGCACGGCACCCCACTCCCCTCCCAGAGATGGGGAGGGAACCCAGGAGTCCGGGCTGCCAGCTTCCCCCTCTAACCACTGCACCCCACTCCCCTCCTAGAGCCGGGGAGGGAACCCAGGAGTCCTGGCTGCCAGCTCCCCCCTCTAACCACTGCACCCCACTCCCCTCCCAGAGCCAGGGAGGGAACCCAGGAGTCCGGGCTGCCAGCTCCCCCCTCTAACCACTGCACCCCACTCCCCTCCCAGAGCTGGGGATAGAACCCAGGAGTCCTGGCTCCCAGCCCCGCCCCCCACACACACACACTAACCACTGGACCCCACTACCTCTTGCTCGGGGAATCCCTCTGTGTCCAGCAGCACCAGGGCCTGGTCAGGCTGAGTCGGGTGGGGCAGGCACCACACCCAGATCCCCGGAGAGCAGGGGAAACCTGTGGGGAGAGGGGGGGTCAGGGGAGCCCCAGGCAGAGGGGTCAGGGAGACAGGGGATCAGCCTGGCACCGGTGGAGGCTCAGCGAGGCCCAGCGGTGGGATAGAAACGTAGCAATACAGGCTGGCAGGGCCCTGGCAAGGCCGTCGCCGGCATCCCCCGGCGCTGGGGCAGGGCCCAGTAAAGCGAGACCAGCCCTGACAGGGTCTGTCTAAGCCCCAATGCTGCGATTCCCAGGCCAATGGGGACTCTGTGATCATCCAGCCTGACCCCTGACAACCCAGCCCAGAGACCGGCCCCCAAACCAGCCCAGAGCTGATCACCCGGAGACCCGCCCCGTCCGCAATGGAGACGCTCAGCACACTGCTCCCCTGGTTAATTCCCCTCACCAGTCACAGCTGATGCCTTATTCCAGCCTGAATACATCCAGCTTCCCCTTCCCCCCGGAGCTCCCCTTCCCCCAGGGCTCCCTTCCCTCCTTCCCGCCGTGGGTCGCGTCCCCCGTTCCGAAGTCTCATCCTCGGGCTTCTGCTCTGACCCTCTTCACCTGACCCAGCTCCTCCCCAAGCAAGCGGAGCTGGGAGGGCCTGTGTAGGCGCCCGCCCTAGCGTTGCCCATTTCCCCCTTTCCTCCTCCCTCAGCGACATGCCGCACGCTGCCCATCACTCCCTTCCCCCCGCCCGGCCCTCCACAGCAGGCTGGACCCCTCTGCCCAACGCCCCAGCTGTGCCAGGGATCCCGCCGCAGCTCCGGGCAGCCAGTTCAGCCACAGCTCAGTTTGCCTGCCAGGACTCCCTCTCTGTGTTCCCCACGCTCCTCACATCAGGGCGCAGACATCGGAGACACTGGGTGGGCTGGTCCCATGGGGACCCCCCCAAACCCAGCTTTCGGCTCTGTCCAGGGCCGGGTGAATACGGGCAGGTGCAGGCAGGGGGTCGAAAGGCCCATGCGGGGGGGTCGGGAGAGGCCCAGGCCTGGGGGGGGAGGGGGGTTCATGGGTTCAGGAGGCCCAGCGGAGGGTGGGGGGAAGCGCAGGCAGGGGGTCAGGGGAGGCCCAGGTTGGGAGTCGGGGGAGGCAGGGGTTCGGGAGGCCCAGGCGGGGGCTTGGGGGAAGCCCAGGCGGAGGGCATAGGGGGATGGTGGAGGCCCAGGCATAGGGAAGGGGGAGCAATGGGGACCCGTCACCTTCGCCCTGCCCCGCCAGCCGGTCCATGAGGAAGGATTTCCCGGTGCCACGGGGCCCGAAGACAGCGAGGACGTGGAGGGGCCGGGTGAGGCCCCGGAGCAGGCCCAGGGCGGCCGGGTTCACCCGCAGGGCACCAGAGCTGGGCACCGGCTCTACCAGGCAAACGGGCTCCATGGCCTCAGTGTCGGGGTCCGGCACACGGGGCTGGAGGAGAGAGGGCAGTGTTACACCAGAGGCTGTGCAGCGGAGATGCCTGTGGCCCACAGAGCCTGGCCCATATCTGGGAGCCACAGCACCAGGGGGTCCGGCCAACAGTTTGGGCCCATCTGCTCTCTGGGAGCAGGACCAGCCCAGGTGCTGCGGAAGGAGGGATTCGTAGGCATTCGGCCAGCTGGTACCACCAGAACCAAGCCCACCCCAGGGCACCTGCTCTGCACAAGGAGGGGGCAGAAGGACCCGCTCTCCACCCACACGGCCCCTCCGCAGGAGCTGACGGCCCTGTTTTAAAGAGGGGTAAACTGAGACACAGAGCAGAGACTGGGCAAAAGCCACACAAGGGCAGCGCTGAGGACAGATCCCAGCCCCCGCTGCTCTAACCCACTAGACCCCACTCCCCTCCCAGAGTCCAGGAGAGAACCCAGGCGTCCTGGCTCCCAGCCCCGCTGCTGTAACCCACTAGACCCCACTCCCCTCCGAGAGCTGGGGACAGAACCCAGGAGTCCTGGCTCCCAGCCCCGCTGCTGTAACCCATGAGACCCCACTCCCCTCCCAGAACCGGGGAGAGAACCCAGGAGTCCTGGTTCAAACCTGGCTGGGGCCGTGGGAGGAGCCCCAGGCTGGAGCAGAGTTGGGGTACAGCAAGCACTGAAGTGTCCGCGGGCTGGGGGAAGTGAGGCTTTTTGCTTTCACTTTCTCTGCCGACTCCTCCCCACTGTGTGGCAGCGTTAAATCCATGATCCTATGGGAGGAAGCGGGGAGGGACTCCTGGGCTCTCTCCCTGGCTCTGGAAGGGAGGTGGGGTCCAGGACTCCTGGGTTCTAGCCTGGTTGGGGAGGAGGGTGGGGTCTGGTGGGTTAGAGCAGTGGGGGCTGGGAGCCAGGACTCCTGGGTTCTCTCCCTGGGTCGGGGAGAGGAGTGGGGTCCAGGACTCCTGGGTTCTCTCCCTGGCTCGGGGAGGGGAGTTTGAAGCTCTGTGTTCAGCACTGCACCGTTATTTTACTTGGATTTAAACCTGAAGAGTGGTCAGTTTAGATGAGCTATTACCAGCAGGAGAGTGAGTTTGTGTGTGTATGGGGGTGGGGGGGATGTGAGAAAACCTGGATCTATGCAGGAAATAGCCCGACTTGATTATGTAAAGAGTTGTCACTTTGGATGGGCTAGCACCAGCAGGAGAGTGAATTTGTGTGGGGGGGTGGAGGGTGAGAAAACCTGGATTTGTGCTGGAAATGGCCCACCTGTTGATCACTTTAGATAAGCTATTACCAGCAGGACAGTGGGGTGGGAGGAGGTATTGTTTCATATTCTCTGTGTGTATATAAAGTCTGCTGCAGTTTCCACGGTAAACATCTGATGAAGTGAGCTGTAGCTCACGAAAGCTCATGCTCAAATAAATTGGTTAGTCTCTAAGGTGCCACAAGTACTCCTTTTCTTTTTGCGAATACAGACTAACACGGCTGTTCTTCTGAAACCTGTTATTGCTCATGTCGCTGCTGCCACCGTCAGGAACTAAACGAGAAGGAGAAACGATTCCCCTGCCCCCGCTGGTGAACAAACGCTAGGCGGGCAGCCCCCCCGAGCAGACACCCTCTCGCCCTGCGCAGGACGCGGCCCCTCTGGGGTGGGGCGGGGGTCGGCTATACCGGGAGCCCTCACCCAGCGCTGGGATGCAGCCCCTCTGGGGTGAGGGCTGTTTATACAGGGACCGCTCACCTGGTGCTGGGACGGGGCCCCTCTGGGGTGGGGCAGGGTTGGTTATACAGGGACCCCTCAGCTGATGCTCGGATGGGGCCCCTGTGGGGTGGGGCAGGGTTGGTTATACAGGGACCCCTCACCTGGTGCTGTGATGCAGACCCTCTGGGATGGGGCACGGCAGCAACGTACCTCCATGACCAATAGCACTTTGGGACAGGAAGTTAAGGTCAATGTCTTACCGGCTGACTGTGCAAAGGGAGTCAGAGGCTGAGCTGAGTCCCCCAGCAGGGATTTAGTGGAGAACTGAGGCCAACGCCCCAACCCGGGGGGAAACGGTCCTGGCCTTAGGGCCAGGACGACTCTGCCATTTCTGCTGGGTCAGGCTGCAGCACAGCATGCTGGGAACTGCCACCTCCCTGGGCCACTCTGCAGTGGTGCATGCTGGGAACTGCCACCACCCTGGGCCGCTCTGCAGTGGAGCATGCTGGGAGCTGTTGCCTTCATGCGCCCCACACAAGCAATGCCTGCTGGGAACTGCCCCCACCCTAGGTCATGTGGGAGCAGTGCATTCTGGGAACACTTTACTTCCATGGGTTCCCGCAGAGCATGACACTTTCAAAGGGCAAACCTCAGATGAAGCAGTGCATTCTGGGAGCTGTCATCCCCACAGGCTACTTTGCAGCATTGCATGCTGGGAGCTATTGCCTCTGGGAGCAGTGATTGCTGGCAGCCCCCACCTCCCTGGGCTGCACTGGCGCATTGCATGCTGGGAATTATTACCTTGGTGGGCCTCTCCAGAGACATGTGCATCCTGGGGGATGGCACCTCTGTGGGGCAGTGTTTCAGCCCCCTATTTAACCAGTGGTTCAGTCCCCATCTCTATCCTTTTATCCCCCCCAAAAAAATGGTTCTGTCCCCATTTGCACACTGATTCATTGCTCAGTGACCCCCATGTACACAAGGAAGCAGCTCGCCCTACGTGAACAATGGTTCAGCTCACTGGCTCCCCCTTTCCTTCTGCCAGATGGTTCGGTCCCGACCGCAGAAGGTTATCCGCCGCTGATTGGCTGGCTCCTAGGGAGCGCGGGAATACAGCGGCCGCTCGAGCCACCCTCGTCCCTGTGGGGAGCGCGAGCCTGATTAGCTGCCCGAAGGCGGGAAATGGGTCATCACCTCTGATTGGGCATCCGCTAGAAAGTGAGACGAAAGGAGAAGGGCGATTGGTCCACCGAGGAAAGGCGGCTGAAAGAGGTGCTGTGATTGGCTCCTTGGCTCTCTGCGACAGGCAGGGTTCGTTAGGTTCAGTCAGTGGAGGGGGAAGGGACTGGTATAGAGCCTTCTGCAAATTAATGAGCCCTGAGGTACCAAGGGCTGCGCCCCACAGAGCCAGGCCGTTCTCCCTGCAGTCATGTCAACACCAGCGCACAACTAGCACTTGACTGGCAATAGCCACCGCCCCAGGGATATCAACCCCCCACAGCAATGGCAACACCCTTCCCTGGGAGACATCGCCACACAGCCACCCCCTGGCAACGTCAACCCCTCCACAGACATCCCCCCCAAGAGGATATCAGCCTCCCATGGTGATGTCCCTGCGAGTCTTCCACACACAACCGCCCCGGCAATGTCATCCCCTCCACAGCCATCCCCCTCAAGAGGATATCAGTCTCCAATGGCAATTTTAACAGCATTCCTGGAAAATAGCCCTCACACCATGGCAACTTCAATCCCTCCACAGCCACCCCAGCACCGTCAACACCGTTCTCTGGGACACCTCACCCAGTACCATCAACACACATACACCAGGACAAACACACACCCACCAGGACTGTCAACACCGTTCTCTGGGACACACACACGGACACACTCTCAGTTCCTCCACACAAAGACACACAGCAACGTCAATTGCTCCACAGCCATCCTCCCCACAGCAACCACCCCCAGGAGTCATCAATCTCCTCTAGGGACATCTACACCATTCCTTGCGAAGTGTCCCCACATACAGCTGGCCCATAGCAACATCAGTCCCTCCACAGACATCCCCCCAGCAACCACCCCCCAGGGATCATCAACCTCCCATAGCAACAGCAACACAATTCCCTAGGACATGCCCCCCTCCTCACACATACAGCTGCCCCACAGCAACATCAATCATTCCACAGCCATCCTGCCTCAGCCACTCCATAAGTGACATCGCTGGCCCCCCACCCCCAGTCACCTAACAGGAGATGTCTACCCTCTCCAAAAGTCTCCCTATGATGCTGTGGGGACATGCCTACAGGAGACATGCCCCCACCAACTACCTCCCTGTGGTGACGCCAACACGTCCACCGCCACCCACTGCAGTTTGTCAGCCTGGCCACAGAAGACACACAAACAGCCTCCTCATGGTGACCTTAAGCCACCCTCCACCTACAAACCAGAGTCCTACAGGAGATGTCTCCCCGAGCAGCCTCCTGTAATGACATGAACTCTGCCACAGCTGCCTCATCCCAAGGGGATGTCAAACCCCCCAGCTATCCCACAGAAGACACCCCCACTGACACCCACTCAGTGCCAGTGGTGCCAAACCTTCCACAGCCCCCTCACTCAGAGGGGATGTCAGCCCCCACAAGAGACACCCCTCCAAGAGCTGCCCCCCCACAGCTACTTCACAGGAGACCCCCGCTCCAACAGTTGCCCCATCCTGACACCAACCCACCCACAGCTACTCCACAGGAGACCCCTGCCCCAACAGTCGCCCCATCCTGACACCAACCCAGCCACAGCTACTCCACAGGAGACCCCCGCCCCAACAGTCACCCCATTCTGACACCAACCCACCCACAGCTACTCCACAGGAGACCCCCCCCAACAGTCACCCCATTCTGACACCAACCCACCCACAGCTACTCCACAGGAGACCCCCGCCCCAACAGTCACCCCATCCTGACACCAACCCACCCACAGCTACTCCACAGGAGACCTCCCTCCCCAACAGTCGCCCCATTCTGACAAGAACCCCCCCACAGCTGCCTTACAAAAGATTCTTCCCTCATAGTGATGCCAGGCCATGCTAGGCTTCATGGCAACAGCAACCCCACTACACATCCACTCTCTGGTGACTTATCTTGTCTGCCTCCCCACAGAAGAACCCTCACCCACCTAGACACAGGTGACACCATTTCCCAGCCCCACGTGTGCCTCCTCAACAGATGCCCCGCTGTGACGTCAAGGCAACCCTGGCCACCGCATGGGGACGTCAACTCCTGTTCAGCCAACAGTGCCGCCCTGTAACAACTATCACTCCCTGCTCTCCCACTTTCCCGACAGTTCCACCCCTTTGCCACAGAATTACGTGGGAGGTGGGGGTAGCGTGTTCGGGCAAGAGTGAAAACGGGGCAGCCAGGGGTGCAGGATGCATGGCCCATATATGATCGTGACCCTGATACAAGCCATAACCCTGATGCACAAGATGAGGGGGGTTGGGGGCAGATCCTGAGGCAGGGCCCCAGCCCCCTGCTTTATCTGAGCTGAGCAGCTATGGAGCTGCCTAGGGCCTGGGCTCTGTCTCTGGGGTCAGGAATGGCCCCTGTGTTCACTTGCTGCTCCCCCCTTCAGGCTCACGGACCATGGAGGAGAGCAGCGACCCTGGCGCCACGGCAAGGCCACGCATTCAGTGCTGCCCCTCAGACTCCACCACAGACGACGGCAGAGCCCAGGGTGACTGTGCCCCGCCTGCCCCCGCCCGCTCCCCAACCTGTGCCCGCTGCCGCAACCACGGCATCCGGGTCCTGCTCAAGGGCCACAAGAAGAGCTGCCAGTTCCAGGGCTGCCAGTGTGACAAGTGCATCCTCATTCTGTACGTGCCGGGGCGTGCTCCCCACGGAGCCAGTGCTGAGCCCAATACTAGGGGTACTGTGCTGCGGGGAGCAGGGTGGGGGCTCAGTAGGGGGCACCCTCCCCAGCAGTCAGGGCTGGCCCAATGCCCCAGCGTGCTGGTGGGGGGTGCAGTGCTGCAGGGAACAGGGTTGGGGGGTCTCCCCGGCAGTCAGTCTGGCCCCAATGCCCAATTCTAGGAGACACTCTTGC